GAAGCCCCCCGCCCCCATGGGGGGGTCCCTTTAAGGGGATCCCTGTGCCTGGGGGGGGGGGGTGGTCCATGGTCGGGAACCCCCAGTAAAGCCGGGGGGGGAAAGGGGGGGGTCCCGGTGCAGTTTGTTTTGGGAAAGGAGGATATTGGGGTGCCCGTGGATGGGGGTGCGTGAGGAAAATGAATGGGGGTCCCCATATGCAGGAATGAGGGGGGGGGTCCCGATGCACTTCACTTTGGGAATATGGGATGCTCAGGAATGGGGGGTAATGGGAAGGCGAATGGGGGTCCCCCTATGCAGAGGACAGAAGGGGGGGGTCCCGCTGCACTTTGCTTTGGGAATATGGGGTGCTCATGAATGGGGGTCCCCATATGCAGAGGACAGAAGAGGGGGGGTCCCGCTGCACTTTGCTTTGGGAATACGGGGTGCTCATGAATGGGGGTCCCCATACCCGAGAGGGATGGAAGAGGGGGGTCCCGATGCGCTTCCCTTTGGGAATACAGGATGCTGCGCTTCCCTTTGGGAATACGGGGTGCTCATGAATGGGGGGATACGGGCAAGGCGAATGGGGGCCCCCATACCCGGGAGATGATGGAAGAGGGGGGGTCCCGCTGCGCTTCCCTTTGGGAATACGGGATGCTCATGAATGGGGGGATAAGGTGAAGGCGAATGGGGGTCCCCATACCCGGGAGGTGACGGAAGGGGGGGGGGGGCTCCCCATGCACTTCCCTTTGCGACCAAAGGAGGATGTTGGGGTGCGCAGGGGAACCCAAAGGGGGGGTCCCCACACCGGGGGGGGATGATGATGATGGGGATGGGGATGGGGATGCGGAGGGGGGGGCGATCCCGATGCGCTGCATCCGCGGGTACCGGTACCGGTGGCGCAGCTCCGCGCCGCATCCCGGTCATTCCCCATCACCCCCCCCCCGTTTTCCATCATCCCCATCCCCGGTACCGGAGCCATGGGGGGGGGGTACGGGGACCACTCACGATCTTCTCGGAGGTGCCAGCCCGGGACACGGCGGTGCCGTTGAGCCCCACGAGCGAGGGCAGGGTCTGGGACATCCAATTGGTGACCATGGCCATGGTGCTCAGCACGGCCCCGATCTTCAGCAGCGGCACCGTCATCTCGCCGCCGCCGCCGCCTCATGCCCATCACCCCCCCAACCCCTTCCTACCGGTACCTCCCGTTTAAACACACCCCCCCCTTTCCTACCGGTACCTCCCGTTTAAACCCCCCCCTCCCCTCTTCCTACCGGTGCCTCCCGTTTAAACACCCCCCCCCCCTCTTCCTACCGGTACCTCCCGTTTAAACACCCCCCCCCCTTCCTACCGGTACCTCCCGTTTAAACACCCCCCCCCCCTTCCTACCGGTACCTCCCGTTTAAACACCCCCCCCCCCCGCTTTCTCCCTTTGGATCCCTCCCGTTTAAACGCTCCCCCCCCCCCGCCGGTACCGTGGTACCGGTAGAGCCGCCTGCGAGCTCGCCCTTTATAACGGGGCCGGCCCCGCTCCCGGTGACGTCGGCACCGATGCCCCCCCCCCCGTAAGCACCGGTACGGACCCGGCTTGGGGCGGTCCCAGTCGGTGCGGGGCAGGACCCCCGGTTTGGGGGGGGGGAACCCCATAGATGCTAATGGAGGGGTGATGAAGGAACCCCATAGATCCTAATGAAGGGGTGCAGGAAACCCATAGATCCGAATGGAGGAGTGAAGGAACCCCATAGATCCTAATGGAGGGGTGAAGGAACTCCATAGATCCGAATGTAGGGGTGAAGGAACCCCATAGATCCTAATGGAGGGGTGCAGGGCCTCCGGTTGGGGGATGCAGGACCCTATAGATCCTAATGGAGGGGTGCAGGAACCCGATAGATCCTAATGGAGGGGTGCAGGAACCCCATAGATCCTAATGGAGGGGTGCAGGAACCCCATAGATCCTAATGGAGAGGTGCAGGAACCCCATAGATCCTAATGGAGAGGTGCAGGAACCCCATAGATCCTAATGGAGAGGTGCAGGAACCCCATAGATCCTAATGGAGGGGTGCAGGAACCCCATAGATCCGAATGGAGGAGTGAAGGAACCCCATAGATCCTAATGGAGGGGTGAAGGAACCCCATAGATCCTGATGGAGGGGTGCAGGAACCCCATAGATCCTAATGGAGGGGTGAAGGAACCCCATAGATCCTAATGGAGAGGTGCAGGAAACCCATAGATCCTAATGGAGGGGTGCAGGAACCCCATAGATCCGAATGGAGTTGTGCAGGAAACCCATAGATCCGAATGGAGGGGAGCAGGACCTCCGGTTTGGGGATGCAGGACCCTATAGATCCTAAAGTAGGGGTGCAGGACCCCGGAGACCCCTGGTTTGGGGGTGCAGGACCCCCATAGATCCTAATGTAGGGGAGCAGGACCCCGGATACCCCCAGTTTGGGGGTGCAGAACCCCGGGGCCCCCCTGCTCCCCCTTACTCTGGTGCAGACCCAAGGACCTTCCCCCCCCCATAGCACCCCGAAATCCTCATCCCCATCCTCTCTGCAGGGACCCCCCCCATCGCCCCCTCCCCTGGCATCGGGGTCCCCCCGGACCCCCCCAAACCCCTTTGCGACCCCCCCTTTGGCTTTGAGCATCCTCGCCCCTCTTCCGCCTCCATCGCCCTGCGCCGCGGTCCCGCAGCGCCACCGCGTGGGGACACGGGGGCAGTGCAGGGGTCCCATGGGGAAAGCCCCCCCCGCCCAAAACCCCTCCCCGGACCCCCCCCCTCAATGCCCCCATTGGGTTTGGGGGGACCCCCCCATGGATTTTGGGGTAACCAAAAAGGGATGAGGTGGGAGTCACCTTTAAGGACCCCCCCTCCCCATAAGCACCCAGGGGCACCCAAAGCAGGGATGCGACCCCATAGGGGACCATTGGGTGTCCCCGTTCTCTGCCCCCCAACCAGCAGCTGCCACATCAAGGGCCTGGTTTTGGGGGGGGGGGTTTGTCTCACCCCACATCTATGGGGCAGAGCTTCCCACCCCCCATCGTACACTCAAATGAAGGGGAAGGGGCACACAGGAGCACCCCCAAACCTCCCCCATCTCTTCCTCGCCCCATTGCAGTGCCCCCCAAGTCACTGCAACCCCCCCCATCCCCACCCAAGACCCACATCCTGCCCTACAAAAGGGGGCGATTTTGGGGTCCCGCATCCCCGCTGCTTGGGGGTCGGAGCCACGCAGGGGCAGGACCGCACTGGGGACCCCATCCCAGCCCCAGCATCGCAATGGGGTGCAGGGGGGACCCCGCCTGCTTACACCCCCCCCTTCATGCATATGCAACAGGCTGCAAAGCACCCACTGAATATTCATCAGGGAACGGCCCCATTGCCAACAGCGCCAGGGCCCTGGGTGGCTCCGACCCACATCGAGGGGACCCCCCCCCCCCCAAAAGCAGCCCCATCCCTGATCCCGGTGCCATTCCCAAGGGATGGGACCACGGAGCTTCCCCCTCTCCTCGATGCCTCCCCCCCAGCGCATGGACCACGCATCCATCCCCGCGCATCCCTATGGGGGGGGGGACACACACACCAACCCATAGGGTACCACCATAGGGTACCACATCCCGATGGTGATCCACAAGCAGCATCCATCCCACATCCACACCCAGCCCTTGGGATGCATCCCGGCCTTTCCCAGCCCTCATCCATGTGCTTGCTCCCACCCACGTGTCACAGCGCCGGGTCCTCCTTATCCTCATGGAGGGGGGGGGGTCCATGGGTGATGATGGAAAGGGGGGGACACGGGGATGAAGCCAAATCCCCCCCCCCTCCATTGAGCATCCCAAGGTCCCGGTGCTACCGGAGGTAAAGGGGGGGGGGAACGGAAAGGAACCGATCCCCCCCCCCCCAAACCGGAACCGCCCCGTTCCGCTCCCCCCCCCCCCCTTTTTTACCTGCATCGCGGGGGAACCGGCGGCGAGGAGGAGGAGGAGGCCGGGGAGGAAGCGCATCCTGAAGGCACCGACCCCGTTACCGGAGCCGTTACCGGAGCCGCTTCAGCGCCGCCGCAGCCGCATCCCCGAGCCGGGCCCCTCCGCCGCCGCCGCCGCCTTTATCCGCGCCGCCCCCCCCCCTCCCCAAACCCCCCCCCCCCAACTCCGGTAACGGGCGATGGAAGCGTTGGAACGGGAGGAACGGGAGGAAGCGCCCCCCCCCCCCCCTCCGGTGATGGGGATGGGGGCGCTCCATGGGGGGGATGGAGGATGGGGATAAAGGATAAAGGGGGGGGGGGATGCTGGGGAGCAGCCTCAGGGTACCACAACCCCCCCCCCATCAAACCTGCCCCGTTTCCATGGAAACCAACAAGAATTGGGGGTGGGAGCCACTTGGAGACAGGTTTATGGGGGAGCATCCTCAATGTGATTGGGGGGGGGGGACCCCCACTTCCCACCCCCAGCACGGGGGGGTTTAACCCATCCCATTGTCGGGAATGGGCTTTGCCAAGGGGGCGTCCAGTGCTTCCCTATGGGAGCGTTGTAGCACCATGGGGAACGGGGGGGCTGTCTTGAACCCCATCTTTGCCTTGTGTCATCCCCCCCCCCCCGTATAAATAAGGGGGTCCATGAAGGCAGGAGGGGCAGCTCCGAGTCCTGAGTATTCCCTGGATCAGCATCCATGGCACAGGGAATGGGGGGCTCCCTGCTCCTGGCCCCATCCCATCCATCCCATCCATCCCATCCCATCCCATCTCATCGCATCCCATCTCACCCACCCCATCCCATCCCACCCCATCTCATTGTATCCCATCACATCCCATCTCATTGCATCCCATCCATCCCATCCTATCCCATCCCATCTCATCCCATCCCATCTCATTGCATCCCATCCTATCCCATCCATCCCATCTCATTGCATCCCATCCATCCCATCCCATCCCACCCCATCCTATTGCATCCCATCCCATCCCATCCATCCCATCCCATCTCATTGCATCCCATCCATCCCATCCCATCCCATCCCATCCCATCAGCCCCTGAAGCAGACGGGGCCGAGCTCGAAGCCGAACTTCTGGTGGGGGGCTCCGAAGTCGGGCACGGCCACGTCCAGGAGAGGGAACCGATCCACGCGGGATGAGGCCACTTCCAGCAGCGTCCGATCCCGGCCGCGGCGATCCTGCGGGAAGAGGGAGAGGAGCGGCTCCCATAGGAGAACATTGGGAATGGCCAGCTTGGAGCATCTCCCATAGGAAGCCAGGGTGGGAATGTTGAGAATGGCCAGCTTGGAGCATACGGAGCCAGGGTGGGGGTGGGAATGTTGGGAATGGTCAGCTTGGAGCATAGGGAGCCAGGGTGGGAACACTGGGAATGGTCAGGATGGAGCATAGGGAGCCAGGGTGGGAACATTGGGAATGGTCAGCTTGGAGCATAGGGAGCCAGGTTGGGAATGTTGGGAATGGTCAGCTTGGAGCATAGGGAGTCAGGGTGGGAATGTTGGGAATGGTCAGCTTGGAGCAGCTCCCATAGGGAGCCAGGGTGGGAATGTTGGGAATGGCCAGCTTGGAGCATAGGGAGTCAGGGTGGGAATGTTGGGAATGGTCAGCTTGGAGCATCTCCCATAGGGAGACAGGGTGGGAATGTTGGGAATGGTCAGCTTGGAGCAGCTCCCATAGGGAGACAGGGTGGGAACATTGGGAATGGTCGGCTTGGAGCAATTCCCATAGGGAGCCCCATTGGGAACATTGGGAATGGAGAGGAGAAGCTGCGTGGAGACCTCAGAAAGGGGCTACAGGGATGCTTGGAGAGGGATCTTCATCAGGGAGCAATGGGGTCGGATTGGAACCGGGATGCTCCGGTTGGAGATGAGGAAGGGCAGTGGGACACTGGGATGGCTTGAACGGACAAGGATTGGATGCCCCATCCCTGGCTCTAATGGGAAGCATCCCTGCCTATGGCAAGGGGTAGGCACCGGCTGAGCTCCAGATCCCTCCCAACCCATCCCACAGCTCCCTGGAGGCTGGGCTGGGGATGTGGGATAACGGAGGCGATGGATGGAGCCCCGGACCTGGCACCCATCATACAGGGCACGGATGGGGGCTGCGGGGTGGTTGTATCCCAACTCCTCCTCATTGGATGCTCGGAAGCGCAGGGCCTTGCCGAAGGTACCGGTGCCGGCATCGAACCAAGCGCTGGCGTTTTGGCAGCTCAAGGTGAAGCTCTGGTGGGCCCCGGCGCTGAGCAGGCGCAGGAAGGTGAGCTGGGGCACGGGCACGGCTTTCCCATCCGCATCCACGTAGGAGAACTGCAGGGAGGGAGGGAGGGGGCCATGGGGATGCTCTGCATGGGGGCTGCTGCATCCCCCTGCCTCGCACCCACCTGCCTGCCCCGTCTGAAGGTGCTGAACCACGTCCCCGGCTTCTCCCTGCTCCAGGAGGCCAAGCGGACCTGGGGGAGGATGGAGACAGCGTTGGGTTGGGGAGGTGAAGGTTTCCCAAGCCCTTTTCCCCCTTGGGATATAGGATCATGGAATAGTTGGGGTGGAAAGGGCCTTAACATCACCCACTTCCATCCCCCTTGCCATGGGCAGGGATATCTCACACTAAACCATGGTACCCAAGGCTCCATCCAACCGGGCCTTGAACAGCACCAGGGATGGAGCATTCACAACCTCCCTGGGCACCCATTCCAATGCCTCAGCACCCTCACAGGAAAGAATTCCCTCCTTAGATCCAATCTAAACTTCCCCTGTTTCAGTTTGAACCCATCACCCCTTGTCCCATCACTACAGTCCCTAATGAAGGGTCCATCCCCAGCATCCCTATAGGCCCCCTTCATCACTGGAAGCTGCTCTGAGGTCTCCATTCAGAACAGCCCCAACTTTCTCAGCCTGGCTCCATACAGGGGCTGCTCCAGCCCCTGAGCATCCTCGTGGCCTCCTCTGGGCTTGTTCCAACAGTTCCATGTCCTTTTGATGTTGAGGACCCCAGAACTGCACCCAGTGCTCCAAGTGAGGACTCCCGAGAGCAGAGCAGAGGGGCAGGATCCCCTCCTTCACCCGCTGCTCACACTCCTTGGGATGCAGCCCAGGATACGGTTGCTTCCTGGCCTCAAGCACACACTGAACCTGGCTCATGTTCAGCTTCTCATCACCCAACACCCCAAGCCCTCCGCAGGGCTGCTCCCAATCCCTTCCCTGCCCATCCTCTCTCCCTGCTCACCGCCTCCAGGCTCTTCTCGGGGAACAAACAGGTCTCCCCTCCCGCAGTGAAGTTGCAGAACACTCGGAAGGCATCGCGGGCACAGCCCTGGTTGGGATCGATCCAGTATTCCCCTGGGAAGCAGCCATGTGAGGATGCGCTCCGGCCCCTGGAGCATCCCCAGAGCATCCCCGGAGCATCCCCACAGCATCCCCGCAGCATCCCCAGAGCATCCCCAGAGCATCCCCGGAGCATCCCCGGAGCATCCCCAGAGCATCCCCAGAGCATCCCCGGAGCATCCCCAGAGCATCCCCAGAGCATCCCCTGAGCATCCCTAGAGCATCCCCAGACACCCAAGCACCGGAGCATCCCAGAGCATCCCCAGAGCATCCCCAGAGCATCCCCTGAGCATCCCTAGAGCATCCCCAGAGCATCCCCAGAGCATCACCGGAGCATTCCCAGAGCATCCCCAGAGCATCCCCAGCATCCTGCACCCAGAGCATCCCCGACATCCCTAGAGCATCCCCTGAGCATCCCCGGAGCATCCCCAGAGCATCCCCGGAGCATCCCCAGAGCATCCCCAGCATCCCACATCCCAGAGCATCCCCGGAGCATCCCCAGAGCATCCCCGGAGCATCCCCGGAGCATCCGCGGAGCATCCCTAGAGCATCCCCAGAGCATCCCTAGAGCATCCCCAGAGCATCCTCAGAACATCCCTAGAGCATCCCCAGAGCATCCCCGGAGCATCCCCAGAGCATCCCCGGAGCATCCCCAGAGCATCCCCAGAGCATCCCCGGAGCATCCCCGGAGCATCCCCGGAGCATCCCTAGAGCATCCCCAGAGCATCCCTAGAGCATCCCCAGAGCATCCCCAGAGCATCCCCAGAGCATCCCCGGAGCATCCCAGAGCATCCCCAGAGCATCCCAGCATCCCTAGAGCATCTCCCAGAGCATCCCCAGAGCATCCCCGGAGCATCCCCGGAGCATCCCCAGAGCATCCCCAGAGCATCCCCGGAGCATCCAGACATCCCAGAGCATCCCAGAGCATCCCTAGAGCATCCCTAGAGCATCCCCAGAGCATCCCCAGAGCATCCCCGGAGCATCCCAGAGCATCCCCAGAGCATCCCCGGACATCCCAGAGCATCCCGGACACCCAGAGCATCCCCGGAGCATCCCCGGAGCATCCCCAGAGCATCCCCTGAGCATCCCCAGAGCATCCCCGGAGCATCCCCAGAGCATCCCCTGAGCATCCCCAGAGCATCCCCGGAGCATCCCCAGAGCATCCCCAGAGCATCCCCTGAGCATCCCCTGAGCATCCCAAGCATCCCCGGAGCATCCCTGGAGCATCCCCAGAGCATCCCCGGAGCATCCCCTGGAGCATCCCTGGAGCATCCCCAGAGCATCCCCGGAGCATCCCCAGAGCATCCCCGGAGCATCCCCGGAGCATCCCCGGAGCATCCCCAGAGCATCCCTAGAGCATCCCCGGAGCATCCCCAGAGCATCCCCAGAGCATCCCTAGAGCACCCCAAGAGCATCCCTAGAGCATCCCCGCATCCCGCTCCGCCCTCACCATCCCCGAGGTGCGGGTGGCAGAGCCCCAGCTCCCTGCAGACCCGAGCCGGGCTCTCGGCCGTCCCCAGGGGCCTCCGGAGCTGCTCCACTTCCATACGGAGGGACCGGAGCGATGCCAACGCCTCCTCCAAGCCCTCGGGACCCGGGGGGGGCTCTTCCCGTTCCCCTCGGACCCCCCTGCGGTGCCTTGGGTGCTCCATGGCCGGGGGGCCCTGGGATGCAGCAGGAGGATGTAAAGGATGGGAAGCAGGGGGGCAGCGATGGGACCAGGGGGTACCAGAGCATCCCTTTACTCACTGGTGGTCCTGGGGGGCCGGGGGGGCCTGGGTCACCTCGGGGACCAAGAGCACCCTGTAAAAGGAGAGGAGTCAGCATCACGGTACCCCACAATGGGGAAGGATGATGGGACCCCCCCCCAGTCCCCCCCAGCACTCACCTGGGAGCCTTTGGAACCCTTCTGACCCAAGGGACCCTATGGGGAGGAGAAAGATGCTGGATGAGGACCCCATTGCAGCATCCCATGACCCCACATCGGAGATACTCACCGAGAGCCCTGGGGGGCCAGGGGGGCCAGGGGGGCCCATGGGTCCAGCCAGGCCCTATAGGTAAGAGGCAGCATCACCACTGTGCACAATGGGGGGAGCTCTGGACCTTGTGCTGTCCCCCCCCCACCTTTTCCCCATTCACCCCAAGCCTGGGGGGGGCACCAAGCACTCACAGGGTCCCCTTTGGGTCCGGGGGGGCCCTGGATGCCGGGGAGCCCCTGGTCTCCTTTCTCCCCCATCTCTCCTGGTGGTCCAATGAGGCCGATGAGGCCAGCGTGGCCCTGGGGGTAAAGGGCAATGGGAGGCTGCCCCAGGACCGGGGTTGGGGGCCCCCCCCCAGTTTCTGCATGAGCATCCCCTCATCCCACCTTGTCTCCTTTGTGGCCGGGGTCTCCCTTGAGGCCAGGCAGCCCCACAGGACCCTGCAAGAGGGTTGGGGATAGGGTTAGGGTTGGGGTTAGGGATAGGGGTTAGAGGTTAGGGTTAAGGTTTAGGTTTAGGGGTTAGGGTTAGGGTTAAGGGTTAGGGTTTGAGGTAAGATTTAGGGTTAGGTGTTAGTTTTAGGGGTTAGGGTTAGGGTTAGGGGTTATGTTTAGGCTTAAGGGTAGGGGTTAGGGCTTTGGTTTAGGGTTAAGGGTTATGTTTGGGGTTAGGATTAGGGTTAAGGGTTAGGTTTAAGAGTTAGGGTTAAGTTTCAGTGTTAGTGTTATTTTTAGTGGTTAGGGTTAGGTGTTAGCATTAGGGGTTATGTTTAGGGGTTACGCTTATGGGTTAGGGTTAGGGGTTAATGTTAAGTTTATGGATTGGTTCAGGTTATGGGTTGGTTAGGGTTAGAGTTATGGTTAGGGTTATGTTTAGGGGTTAAGGTGACTGTTACAGCTAGGGTTAGGGGTTAGAGTGAGGTGCTTGTGTGGGGTTAAGTGTAGGGGTTAGGGGTAGGGTTAGGGGTCGTTGTAGGGCTCTAACTCACCATGGGGCCGGGGGGGCCGACTTGGCCCGGAGCCCCCAGCATCCCTTGTTCACCCTGGAAGAGACCCCAATATTCCCCCATGAGGTTGAGCCCTCATCCAAGCACTGCCCCCCCTCTATAGCACTGATGGAGGGGTCTGGGGGTCCCCAACTCACAGCAGGGCCGGGGATCCCTCGCAGCCCCTCATTGCCCTCTTGTCCCGGTGCTCCCTGGGCTCCCATGGGACCCGGCTTCCCCGGTGCCCCCTCGGTGCCAGGGTGTCCCTGGGGACATGGGGACAGAGCTGCGTCCCACTGGGAGCACTGGGATGGGACCGGGATTGGGGTTATGGGGGGGGTCCCCATCATTGCTCACCTTGGCCCCCTTCTCCCCCTGCCGGCCCTCGCGCCCCATGGGTCCCATGGGTCCCTGGAGGAGGGGACAGGGACAATGGGAATGCAGCAGCCCCGTCCCCTGTCCCCCCCCCAACACCTCGGTCCCTCCCCACATCCCCCTGCCCCTGCTCACCCTGCGGCCGGGGGGGCCTGGGGGACCCGGCTCCCCCGAGGCACCTGGAGGACCCTGCAATGGAGCCAATGGGGTTTGGGATGAGGGAATCCCACAAATGGGAATGGGGGGGGGAGGATGTCCAAGAGTTCCCCCCCAGTGCAGGGGGGATGTGGTGAGGAGCCCCCCCCAGGTTGTCCCACTCACAGGCAGGCCGGGGTCCCCACTGTCACCCTTCTCTCCAGCAGCTCCATCCAGACCCTGCAATGGATGAGGGATGGATGAGGGATGGATGAGGGATGGATGAGGGATGGATGAAGGATGGATGAGGGATGGATGATGGATGGATGATGGATGGATGGTTTATGAATGCAGGATGATGAACATCACTCCAAGGGTGACTGGGGACCACTCACCGGCACACCAGGGTCTCCAGGGGGACCAGGATCCCCAGGGAATCCAATGGGACCCTGCAGAGAGGGACGAGCACACAAGTGTGGGGTTGGGAAGCAGCGGCAGGGATACGGAACCCCAAAGGGAATGGATCCATTCCTGCCCCTCACCAGCTCGCCTTTGGCTCCATCCTCTCCCGGTGGCCCCTTCTTGCCGGGGGGTCCAGCAGCTCCCGACTGCCCCGCGTCCCCCTTGTCCCCCACATCTCCTTTGACACCCTATGGGTCGGGATGCAGGGATCGCATCGGAGCAGGGAATTCGGGCCAGGAAGCCCTTTAATGGCAAGGCCTCATCCTCTATGGGTTACTCACGGCTGCTCCAGGCTCTCCCGGTGCTCCCGGGTCCCCCGCTTCTCCCGGCTCCCCCTGGATAAGAGGGAATCCATGGGGATGATGCTGCAGGAGCCCCAGCCCCACATCCCCCTCCCAGCGTGGCCCTACCTTCTCCCCCACAGCACCCGGTTGTCCCACGCCGCCCGGCATTCCCTGAGGACCCTGGATGCAAGAGGATGCAGGGATGCAGGGATGCAGGGATGCAGAGATACAGGGATGCAGGGATACAGGGATGCAGGGATGCAGGGATGCAGGGATACAGGGATGCAGGGATGCAGGGATGCAGGGATACAGGGATACAGGGATGCAGGGATGCAGGGATACAGGGATGCAGGGATACAGGGATGCAGGGATGCAGGGATGCAGGGATACAGGGATACAGGGATGCAGGGATGCAGGGATACAGGGATGCAGGGATGCAGGGATGCAGGGATGCAGGGATACAGGGATGCAGGGATGCAGGGATGCAGGGATACAGGGATACAGGGATGCAGGGATACAGGGATGCAGGGATGCAGGGATACAGGGATGCAGGGATGCACTGGGGGGGGACCACCCCCTATATTGGGGGCAGCTCAGCATCCCCCCCCCCAGCACTGTCCTCACCTCAGCACCATTGGGTCCTTGTGGTCCACGGGGTCCGGGTGCACCGGGGGGGCCCTGTGGGGATGGGAAGAGGGAATGGGATGGGAAAGGGCAGTGAATTGTGCAGCTCCCATGGGATAGGGAGCGTGGGAAGCTGGGAATGGGCCGGGAGGAGGCGGAAGGGGATGGGGAGGGGGGGAAGGAATGGGATGAGGATGGGATTTGCTTACCATGGGACCCACGTCTCCGTTCTCGCCCTTCTCACCCGGGGGACCCGGCATTCCCTATGGGATCATGGCTTAGGGACTGGAAGCCCCATTGTGTTGTCTCTAACCCCCATTCCAGCCCCATTGCGTTGTCCCTGACCCCCATTCCAGCCCCATTGTGTTGTCCCTAACCCCCATTCCAGCCCCATTGCGTTGTCTCTAACCCCCAATCCAGCCCCATTCCCATCCCCATTCCATCCCCATTCCCATCCCCATTCCCATCCCCATTCCCCGCCCCACTCCCAGCCCCATTCCCATCCCATTCCCATCCCCATTCCCATCCCCATTCCCACCATTCCCATCCCCATTCCCATCCCCATTCCCACCCCATTCCCACCCCATTCCCCCCCATTCCCACCCCATTCCCCCCCATTCCCACCCCATTCCCCCCCATTCCCACCCCATTCCCCCCATTCCCACCCCCATTCCCACCCCATTCCCCCCATATTCCCCATTCCCCCCATTCCCATCCCCATTCCCCCCCATCCCCATCCCCATTCCCACCCCATCCCCATCCCCATTCCATCCCCATTCCCGCCCCATTCCTTACCTGCAGGCCGGGGGGGCCGCTCAGGCCGAGGTCACCCCTGGATCCCTCATCCCCTTTCTGCCCAAGCATTCCCTGCTGCCCGCGGCGGCCCCGCTCCCCATCGGCTCCCTGCACACGGAGAGGTCGGGATCAGCCCCATGGATCCCCAGGCCCTGTGGGGCTGCGAATGGGGTTGGGCATGGGGATGGGAATGGGGATGGAATGGGGATGGGAATGGGATGGGGATGGGGATGGGAATGGGAAAAAGGGCTGGAATGATGGGAATGGGAATGGGAATGGGGCAGGAATTGGGATGGGAATGGGATGGGAAGGGAATTGGGATGGGAATGGGATGGGAATGGGGAGGGGAAAATGGGGCTGGGAATGGGCTGCAAATGGGCTGGGATGGGATGGGAATGGGGAGAACCGGATAGGAGAACCAGAATGGGACTGGAATGGGGCTCGGAAATGGGCTGGCAATGGGGATGGGAATGGGGCTGGGAATGGGGCTGGGAATGGGGATGGGAATGGGGGAATGGGGATGGGAATGGGGATGGGAATGGGATGGGAATGGGGTTGGGAATGGGGCTGGGAATGGGGCTGGGAATGGGGATGGGAATGGGGTTGGGAATGTTGCTGGGAATGGCGCTCACCGCAGGTCCGGGATGCCCGATGGGTCCTTGGATCCCTGTGGGTCCTGGGGGACCCTGTGGGGCAGAAGCAGCCCCATAGGGGTTAAGGCATCTCCCGAGCACATCCCAGGTTCCCATTGCGAGCCCCATTCCCGGAGCACTCACCCCATCGCCCTTGTCCCCTTTGCTGCCCTTCTGTCCGGGGAGCCCCATCTCGCCCTGCCAATGGGAACGGTGGGAGCCAGGGAATGCTGCCACGGCCGGGCAGGAGCAGCCAAGGCATTCCCAGCTCCTCCCATAGGGAAAACCGGCCCCATCCCACATCCTCATCCCGGATGCGCATCCCGGGGTGCATCCCACCCCATCCCATCCCATCCCATCCCATCCCATCCCATCCCATCCCATCCCATCCCAACCCCATCCCCATCCCATCCCCATCCCCATCCCATCCCATCCCATCCCATCCCCATCCCATCCATCCCAACCCCATCCCATCCATCCCATCCCATCCATCCCCCATCCATCCATCCATCCATCCCATCCCATCCCATCCCCATCCCATCCCCCTCCCATCCATCCATCCCATCCCATCCATCCATCCCCATCCATCCATCCATCCCATCCCCATCCATCCCACGCATCCCCATCCCCATCCCAATCCTTGTCCCATCCCCATCCCATCCCATCCCATCCCATCCCATCCCCACCTTATCCCCATCTTCTCCAGAGGGACCAGGGGGACCGCCTGGACCTGGCAATCCCATAGGACCACGGATCCCATCCTGCCCAGCCGGCCCCATAGCACCTCGCTCCCCCTGCGGGCAGGAAGGGGCAGGATGCTCTGGGATACAGGGATAACGGAGACCCGCAGCCAAGGAGCAGAGGGGACACTGGGAAACCCCCCTCTTCCCATTTGGAACCTACCGGGGACCCCTTCTCTCCTATGGGACCGGGGGGTCCTTGTGCCCCCCCCCGGCCGGGCATCCCAATGCTTCCAGCAGCTCCCATTGGACCTCGCTCTCCGGGGGGGCCCTATGGAGAAGACAAAGGTGATGGGGGGTGGAATTCCCATCCTTTGGAAAAGGAACCTCCTTCCTGCATCAACTGGGATGCAATGGGATAAAGCGCCCCCCCCCAAGTGCTCTGTACTCACTGTGGGTCCAGGGGGGCCGGGGGGTCCTTCCCATCCCTTCAATCCCGGGGGACCCTGCACAGAGCATGGGATGCGTTGGGAAGGAGCCCCCCATGAGCACCACAAAGGGGGGGTCCCTGCCCACCAAGCACTGACCGTGGCTCCAGCTGCGCCCCTTGGACCAGGGAAGCCACGGATGCCGGGGGGGCCGCTCTTCCCGGGAATGCCGGCGGGACCGGGGTCACCCTGCAGGGATGGGGGGGGGGGGGGTTCCTGTGTCCTGGAGCAATTCCAGAGGCTGGGAATGGCTCCGCTGGGTACCGGGGCTGCTCCCACCTTGGCTCCCTCGCGGCCGGTGCCTCCGGGCAGGCCCTGCTCGCCGGGGGGGCCGGGGGGGCCCGGGTGTCCCCGCTCCCCCATGGGTCCGGTGTCTCCTGAGTTCCCCTGTGGGGAAGGAGGAGGGGGAGGAGTTGGGGGGGGGTCCTACATTCAACCTCGTCCTGCATCCCACATCCTCATCCCACATCCTGTATCCCATCTCCTCCTGCATCCCACCTCCTGTATCCCACATCCTCATCCCACATCCTCCTGCATCCCATCTCCTCCTGTATCCCATCTCCTCCTGCATCCCACCTCCTGCATCCCATCTCCTCCTGTATCCCATCTCCTCCTGCATCCCACCTCCTGCATCCCATCTCCTCCTGTATCCCATCTCCTCCTGCATCCCATCTCCTCCTGCATCCCATCTCCTGCATCCCACCTCCTCCTGCATCCCATCTCCTCCTGCATCCCATCTCCTGCATCCCATCTCCTCCTGTATCCCATCTCCCCCTGTATCCCATCTCCTCCTGAATCCCGTCTCCTCCTGCGTCCCATCTCCTCCTGCATCCCATCTCCTGCTGCATCCCACATCCCGCTATATCCCACCTCCTGCATCCCATCTCCTCCTGCATCCCATCTCCTGCATCCCATCTCCTCCTGCATCCCATCTCCTCCTGTATCCCATCTCCTCCTGCATCCCATCTCCTGGTGCTCACCTGGGGGCCCACCACCCCTGTGGGGCCAGGGGGGCCGGTGCGGCCATGGAAGCCCTGCAGACGAGAAAGGGATAATGATGGTCAGGGACACAGGGATACAGGGATACAGGGACACAGGGACACAGGGATACAGGGACACAGGGACACAGGGATACAGGGATACAGGGACACAGGGACACAGGGATGCAGTGATACAGGGATGCAGTGATACAGGGATGCAGTGACACAGGGATGCAGTGATACAGGGATGCAGTGATACAGGGATGCAGTGATACAGGGATGCAGGGACATGGATACAGGGAGACAGGGATACAGGGATACAGGGATAGAGGGATGCAGGGATACAGGAACATGGACACAGGGATACAGGGATGCATGGACACAGGGATGCAGGTATACAGGGACACAGGGATACAGGGATACAGGGATACAGGGATGCAGGGATACAGGGATACAGGGATACAGGGATACAGGGATGCAGGGATACAGGGATACAGGGACACAGGGATGCAGGATTACAGGGATACAGGGATACAGGGATGCAGGGATGCAGGGATACAGGGACGTAGGGATACAGGGATCAGGGCACCCACCGGCTCCCCGCGCTGGCCCGGGTGTCCCGGCAATCCGTCCTTCCCGGCGGGACCCTGGGCAGGAGAGGCGGGATCAGGATGCGGGATCCATTCCCCATCCCCTGCCTGCCCCCCATTGCCCCCCCTCCATCACTTACGGGGGCTCCTTTGGTACCCGGGAAGCCGCTGGGTCCCTCTGGACCTGGAGGACCCTATGGGAATGGGGAGAGAACCCCCCCCCCATCATCAGAGCCTCTCCCTGTGCCGGGAATGGGGGATCCCTTCCCAAGGGATCCCTGTAGCATCCCATTTACCTTCTCCCCCACTGCGCCAGGGGCTCCATCATGGCCGGGATCTCCCTTGGGATGCAGGAACGGGATGAGCATCCCCAGTGCCCGCTCTCCCAGCTCCCTGTGCCCCATTATCCCACCCCATTCCCATTCCCATTCCCCTCTCCCAGCTCCCTGTCCCCCATTACCCCACCCCATTCCCATTCCCCTCTCCCAGTTCCCTGTCCCCCATTATCCCACCCCATTCCCATTCCCATTCCCCTCTCCCAGCTCCCTGTGCCCCATTATCCCACCCCAATCCCCTCTCCCAGCTCCCTGTCTCCCATTATCCCACCCCATTCCCATTCCCCTCTCCCAGCTCCCTGTCTCCCATTATCCCACCCCATTCCCATTCCCCTCTCCCAGCTCCCTGTCTCCCATTATCCCACCCCATTCCCATTCCCCTCTCCCAGCTCCCTGTCCCCCATTATCCCACCCCATTCCCATTCCCCTCTCCCAGCTCCCTGTCCCCCATTATCCCACCCCATTCCCATTCCCATTCCCCTGTCTCCCATTATCCCACCCCATTCCCCTCTCCCAGTTCCCTGTCTCCCATTATCCCACCCCATTCCCCTCTCCCAGTTCCCTGTCCCCCATTATCCCACCCCATGGGACCCCATATTCAGGCTCCCACCTACTTTGGGTCCAGGTTTTCCTGTGGGACCGGGAAGACCTCGATCCCCTGGGATCCCCTATGGAGGCAAAGAGTGGGGTGAGGAGGTGTGGGGCAGGGAATGGGGTGGGATGATGGGGGACAGGGATGGGAGTGGGATACAGGCTGCTTCCCATGGGATACAGGCAGGAGCTGGGATCACAATGGTCCCCAGGGTCTGGGATGCTGTGGGATGCTGCTTCCCATGGGATACAGGCAGGAGCTGGGATCACAATGGTCCCCATGGTCTGGGATGCTGTGGGATGCTGTGGGATGCTGCTTCCCATGGGATACAGGCAGGAGCTGGGATCACAGTGGTCCCCAGGGCCTGGGATGCTGTGGGATGCTGTGGGATGCTGCTTCCCATGGGATACAGGTGGGAGCTGGGATCACAATGGTCCCCATGGTCTGGGATGCTGTGGGATGCTGCTTCCCATGGGATACAGGCGGGAGCTGGGATCACAATGGTCCCCAGGGTCTGGGATGCTGTGGGATGCAGCCGGCTCCAGCCTCATTGGCAATGGGATGATTGGGTGGGATGGAGCCGGGTCTGGATTGGCTCCTATGGGATGAATCCACATGGGAATGGGGGTACTCACCAGGGGCCCTCGCTGCCCCGTTGGTCCGGCCTGGCCAGCTTTGCCCTGTGGGAGAGAGCAGCAGCTATGGGGCAGCCCCACATGGCCCCAGGGGTGGGATGGGGTGGAAGGGATGGGATAGGGTGGGGTGGAATGGATGGGATGGGATGGGATGGAAGGGATGGGATGGGATAGGATGGATTGGATGGGATGGGATGAGATGCAATGGGATGAGATGGGGTGGGATGGGAAGGGATGGAGAGGACTGGGATGGGATGGGATGGAGACAGGATGGATGGGATGGTATAGGGATGGGATAGGATGGGTGGGATGGGATGGGTAGGATGGGTTTGTATGGATGGGAAGGGGTGGATGGGATGGGATGGATGGTGTGATAGGGATCAGATGGGGATGGAAGGGGATGGGATAGGAATGGATGGGATTAGAATGGGAAGGGATGGGGTGGGGATGAGATGAGATGGGATAACGGGATGGGATGGATGGGATGGATGGGATGGATGGGTTGGATGGAATGGATGGAATGGGATGGGATGGATGGGGTGGATGGGATGGATTGGATGTGATGGATAGAATGGGATGGGATGGGATGGATGGGGTGGATGTGATGGGATGGATGGGTTGGATGGGATGGATGGATGGATGGATGGATGGATGGATGGATGGATGGATGGGATGGATGGATGGATGGATGGATGGATGGATGGATGGGATGGATGGATGGATGGATGGATGGATGGGATGGATGGATGGATGGACGGATGGATGGGATGGATGGATGGATGGATGGATGGATGGATGGATGGATGGGATGGATGGGATGGATGGATGGATGGATGGATGGATGGATGGGATGGATGGATGAATGGATAGATGGATGGATGGATGGGATGGGATGGATGGATGGATGGGATGGATGGGATGGGATGGAAGGGATGGGGTGGGATGGGGTGGGATAGGATGGGATGGGATGGAAGGGATGGGGTGTGATGGATGGGATAGATGGGATGGGATAGGATGGGATGGGATGGGATGGAAGGGATGCTCTCACTCACCCTCTTGCCCTTCTCTCCCGCCAGCCCCATGGCTCCGGGGAAGCCGGTGGATCCCTGAGGACAAGGAGCACAAGAGCCAATCCCGGGATACCCAAGGGGGTGCTTCCAGGGACACCCCGGGGCTCAGCCTGCTCACCTTGGGCCCCTGGCGCCCGGGATAGCCCGGGAGACCTGGAACACCGAGCCGGCCCTGCGGAGACATGGAGCTCAGGGACAGGGACAGGGATACAGGGATAGAGGGGTGCAGGGGTACAGGGATGCAGGGACACAGGGATACAGGGATACAGGGACATAGGAATACAGGGACATAGGGATACAGGGATGCAAGGATACAGGGATGCAGTTATACAGGGATACAGGGATAAAGAGATACAGGGATACAGGGATGCAGGGATGCAGGGATGCAGTTAGATAGGGACACAGGAACACAGGGATGGAGGGATACAGAGATACAGGGATGCAGTTATACAGGGATGCAGGGACACAGGGACACAGGGATACAGGGATACAGGGACACAGGGTTACAGGGATACAGGGACGTAGGAATACAGGGACATAGGGATACAGGGATGCAGTTATACAGGGATACAGGGATAAAGAGATACAGGGATACAGGGATACAGGGATGCAGGGATGCAGGGATGCAGTTAGATAGGGATACAGGGACACAGGAACACAGGGATGCAGGGCTACAGAGATACAGGGATGCAGTTATACAGGGATGCAGGGACACAGGGACACAGGGATGCAGGGATGCAGGGATGCAAGGATAGAGGGACACAGGGATACAGGGAAGCAGGGATGCAAGGATAGAGGGACACAGTTATACAGGGATGCAGGGATGCAAGGATAGAGGGACACAGGGATGCAGGGATGCAGGAACAGGGCCCCCGTCACCTTCTCTCCTGTAGGACCGCTCCCCCCCGTCTCTCCCATCAGTCCCGGCTCTCCCTTCATCCCCTCGGGCCCATCCTCACCGCGGGGCCCCATCGGGCCCTGGTCCCCCTGGAATGGGAGCACAGGGAGGTGGGGCTGCTCCCCATGGAGCTCCAAGGGTCCCAGCAGCACCCCCCAATGACACCCCCCCAATAGCATCCCCCAATGGCACCCCCAATGGCACCCCAATGGCACCCCCCATCCTGCAGCACCCCAGATGACACCCCCCAATGGCACCCCCAATAGCACCCCCCAATGACACCCCCAATGGCACACCCCCAATGACACCCCCCCAATAGCATCCCCCAATGGCACCCCCAATGACACCCCCAATGACACCCCCAATGACACCCCCAGTGACACCCCCAGTGACACCCCCAGTGACACCCCCAGTGACACCCCCAGTGACACCCCCAATGACACCCCCAATGACACCCCCAATGGCACCCCCAATGACACCCCCCAATGTCACCCCACATCCTGCAGCACCCCCCAATGGCTCCCCCCATCCTTACCCTGTCCCCCTTGGGGCCCAGCTCCCCCTTGAAGCCATGGAATCCGTCTTCCCCCTGCATTTGGGGCACATTCAGTGGGGGCTGAACCCCAAATCCCATCCCAAAGAGGGGGGGTCCCCCCACCCTCAGTGCCCCCCATGGCCCCCCCTCACCTTCTCCCCTTTGCTGCCCTTCAGGCCCCGCACACCAAAGGCTCCCTGCAGGGATACGGCGGGGGGGGGGTCAAAGGGGGGGACCCCAATGCAAATGGGGGGGGTACCCCCTGGACCCCCGCATTGTGAGTTTGGGGGGGGGGGGCTGCACCTACCTTGACCCCGCGGGGTCCTGGGTATCCAATGGGACCTGGGGCACCCACAGGGCCCTGGGATAGAGACAGCGAAGATGGGGACTTCCCCTTGGAATGGGGACCCCATTCCCATGGGATAAGGACCCTGTCCCCTTGAGATAAGGACCCCATTCCCATGGGATAAGGGCCAAAATCCCCTTGGAATAAGGACCTCATTCCCCATGGGATAAGGACCCCATCCCCTTGAGATAAGGACCCCATTCCTATGGGGTAAGGACGCCATTCCCATGGGATAAAGAACCCATTCCCCATGGGATAAGGACCCCATTCCCATGGGGTAAGGATGCCATTCCCATGGGATAAAGAACCCATTCCCCATGGGATAAGGACCCCATTCCCATGGGATAAGGACCCCATTCCCCATGGAATAAGGACACCATTCCACTTGGAATAAAGACACCATTCCCATGGAATAAGGACCCCATTCCCGTGGGATAAGGACCCCATTCCCATGGAATACAGCCCCTATTCCCCATCCCAGTCCATCAGGCCTGGGTGCACCCCGTTACCTGCAGGCCCTTCTCTCCCGCTGCCCCTTCCCGGCCGGGATGACCCTGCAGGGATGGATGCACAAGGGCCGGGATTTGGGATCATTCCCGCAGCGATCCCACAGCCCCTTCCCTGTTACTCACCGGGGCCCCATCGGCTCCGGAGACCCCCGGCATCCCCGGCGCTCCCGGCAGGCCCTGGGTGGGAATGGGAGGCTTTAGGGATGCTGAGGGATGGGGATGGGATCCCCCCCCCATCCACACCAGGTCCTCACTCACCTTCTCCCCCGGCAGCCCCACAGGGCCCTGGGGACCGGGCAGACCCTAAGGGGTAACACAATGAGGGTGATGGGATGGGGTTCAGGGTGCCCCCCATCCCAGCCCCATAGGGACCCCCATTGGTACCCATCACCCTCAGGTACCTGTGGACCAGGGTTCCCTTGCTGCCCTGGGGGTCCTGGTTCTCCATGGATTCCCTAGGGAAGGGCAGAGGGGGTTTGGTCCCCATTCCGGGAGCATCCCAGTTAATCCAGGATGCAGGGGGGGGGTGTCCCAGTGGCACCCACCACATTGCCTTTAGGGCCTGGTGCTCCGTCAATGCCACTGGTACCCTGTGGAGAAAGGAGGGAGGGTTGGGGATGCTGAGCCCCAAGGTGATGCTGCACCCAAAGTGATGCTGCACCCTAAGGTGATGCTGCACCCCAAAGTGATGCTGCACCCTAAGGTGATGCTGCACCCCAAAGTGATGCTGCACCCTAAGTGATGCTGCACCCTAAGTGATGCTGAGCCCCAAGGTGGTGCTGCACCCAAAGTGATGCTGCGCCCCAAAGTGATGCTGCACCCTAAGGTGATGCTGCACCCCAAAGTGATGCTGCACCCAAAGTGATGCTGCACCCAAAAGCAATGCTGTGCCCCAAAGTGATGCTGCACCCCAAAGTGATGCTGCACCCCAAGGTGATGCTGCACCCCAAAGTGATGCTGCACCCAAAGTGATGCTGCATCCAAAGTGATGCTGCACCCAAAGTGATGCTGCACCCCAAAGTGATGCTGCACCCCAAAGTGATGCTGCAACCAAAGTGATGCTGCTCCCCCAAAGGTGATGCCGCACCCCAAGGTGATGCTGCACCCCAGTTGACGCTGCACCCCAATTGATGCTGCACCCCAAGTGCTGCTGCATGCTTGGAGGTGGGGACAGGATCAGTCTCCTACCGGTGGTCCAGGGGGCCCGGGGGAGCCCCGGGAGCCGCTCAAGCCTCTGCTGCCCTAAAACCAAGGAGAGGAGGGGTTGGGGGGGCCCGGGTCCCCCCATTACCCTCCCCCCATACCCCATGGTGGGAGCAGCACTCACCGGTTCCCCCGCCTGCCCCCGAGCTCCAGGGGGGCCATGGGAGCCCTGCAGGGGGGCACAAAGAGGAGCTGAGCCCATCCCGACCCCGCAGCACCTTCCCCATCCCTGCCCTCGCTCCTCACCTTGGCCCCCTTCTCCCCTTGGGGTCCTGCTGGTCCCGGCTTCCCCACGTCCCCCTATGGAGGATGGAGGCTGAAGCAGGATGGGGATGGAGGGGACAGGATGGGACCCGGTGCTGGTCCCCTCTTACCCTGTGCCCCTTCTCCCCCGGCAGCCCCGGCAGCCCATCGAAGCCTCTGTCTCCCTATGGGGTGGGCCAAGCATCGGGGTGAGCCCCGCATCACCCCCATATCCCCTCGCAACAAGGACATGGGGGTCTCAGCACCCATCCTGCCCCATTCACTGCACCTTAGGGCCGGGTTCCCCCGGCAGCCCCCTGGCACCGTCAGCTCCAGCACGGCCCTGGAATGGGAGGAATGGGAAGGGGCTGAGGATGGGAAGGGGATGGGGATGGGAAAGGGGGGGTGCAGAAGGGGACCCCCATGTTTGGTACCCGTCTGCCCAGCTTGCCCGGTGGTCCCGGTGCTCCCTGCATCCCGCGGGGCCCCTGATGGAGAGGAGGAGAGCATCAGAGCTGGGTCTGTTGCAGGCAGCCGGCCCCATTGAGTCCCACTCACCCTTGGCCCCACGTCCCCTGCGTCCCCTTTAAGGCCTGGGTGTCCTGGTGGGCCCTATAGTAACAAGGCAGGGGGGGGTGATGGGGAGATGAAGGTGGTGATGGTCGAGGGTGATGCTCAATGGGGGGGGGTCTCCCTGTGCTGGTACTCACCAGGGGGCCTGGGCGGCCGGTGAGCCCCATGGGACCTGGGGGACCCTTCATGGCAAGCTGCAGGTAGGAGGAGGAAGAGGAATGGAGGGGATGGAGGAAGAAGAGGGATGAAGGAGGAAGAAGAGGGATGAAGGAGGAAGAAGAGGGATGAAAGAGGAAGAAGAGGGATGAAGGGGAAGGAGGAAGAAGAGGGATGAAGGAGGAAGAAGAGGGATGAAAGAGGAAGAAGAGGGATGAAGGGCAAGGAGGAAGACAAGGGATGAAGGAGGAAGAAGAGGGATGAAGGAGGAAGAAGAGGGATGAAAGAGGAAGAAGAGGGATGAAGGGGCAGGAGGAAGAAGAGGGATGAAGGAGGAAGAAGAGGGATGAAGGAGGAAGAAGAGGGATGAAAGAGGAAGAAGAGGGATGAAGGGGCAGGAGGAAGAAGAGGGATGAAGGAGGAAGAAGAGGGATGAGGGAGGAAGACGAGGGATGAAGGGGAAGGAGGAAGAAGAGGGATGAAGGAGGAAGAAGAGGGATGAAAGAGGAAAAAGAGGGATGAAGGGGAAGGAGGAAGAAGAGGGATGAAGGAGGAAGAAGAGGGATGAAAGAGGAAGAAGAGGGATGAAGGGGCAGGAGGAAGAAGAGGGATGAAGGAGGAAGAAGAGGGATGAAAGAGGAAGAAGAGGGATGAAGGAGGAAGAAGAGGGATGAAGGGGAAGGAGGAAGAAGAGGGATGAAGGGGAAGGAGGAAGAAGAGGGATGAGAGGGCAGGAGGAAGACGAGGGCTTGGAGCGGGGGGTCCCCACCTTCGCCTGCTGCAGGATCGCTTGGGCTTGAGCCTCTTGGAAGGAAACAGCGGGAGCCTTGAGGGAGTCGCTTCCGAACTGGAACTGGAGGCGAGGAGCGGGATGAGGGAGCGGGAGCATCCCTGCATCCCCCGGGGCGGCCCCATCCTGCTCTTACCGGTAGCATGAGGATGGTCCCTGCGGGGCCTCGGATCCCGTCAGCTCCAGGCAGCCCCGGCCGTCCCGAGGGACCCTGGAATGCGATGGGAAAAGGGGATGGGGAAAGGGGGGGGCTGAGCCGGTCCGGGCTCGCAGCTCCATCCCCCTGCAGGCACCGACGGGTCCCGGCACGGCCCCGGCTGCTCCGTACCTGATCCCCGCGCTCCCCGGGTAAGCCTGGGAGCCCCGGGGGGCCCGGGGGCCCCGGTTCTCCCTATGGGGACACAAAGGCACCGGTGAGGCTTTGGGAAGCTCCCGGCCCTTCCCATTGCAGCTCCCGCATCCTCACCGCAGTGCCTGGGGGTCCCGGGGGGCCCTGGAATCCACGACCCTAAAGGGAAAGAGGCCCCAAGAGCATCATAAAGGAAAAAGGGGGGGGGTCCTGGAGGATGGGAAGCGGGGGGGGGGCACAAGGCCCCTTGGGTCCCACTCACCGGTTCCACAGTGCCTGGGTCCCCCTTGTCCCCCTTCAAGCCCTGCATGAGGAGGAGTTGGGGTGAAGGGACCCCCCCCTTCCACACTGTGCTGGGGGGGGGGGGTCCCCATCCTCACCCTCAGCGTTACCTGGGCAACCGGGATCACCAGCGCATCCCGGTCAGCATCTCCATTGCTGTGGTCCTCATAGCCCGTGCTGCTGGTGCCATCCTCCTCCAGCTCCTATGGGATTGGGGGGAGATGGAGGGATGCAAATGGGGTTTAGGGGGATGATGATGATGATGGTGATGATGATGATGATGATGATGGTGATGATCCCCGCTTCCTGCCCCTGCTGCTGTTACCATGGAGGGGTTCAGGGGGATGCTGATGGTGGTCGGGAGCTGGGAGCTGGGTGCTGGCGTCGAGGTGCCGAGGGCATCGGGATCGGGCCCCTTTTTGGGATGAGGGAAAACAAGAGGGAGCCGCTGCAGCTCCAGGGCTCATCCACAGATCCCATAGATCCCAAGGAGGAGCCGGAGCCAACGGAGCCAAAGGTCCGGCTCCAGCATCACTGGAGCTGCATCCCAAGCCAGGCCAATGAGGAGGCTGGGGATGGCTCCGGATGCAGCAGCGGTCCTTTGGGATGCAGCTGCATCCATCCCCTATTCCCTCTAGAGCGGGTCGGGGGTCACCCAACCACGCAGGAGGTTGAACTGGGCTCACTGGGTTAACTGGGAGGGGTTAAACACATCCCATACCCTGCTCCCCAGCGCAGGGGCCTCATCCTGCTCCTTGTTCCTCTTCTTCTTGCCCTTGCCCTTGCGCTTCCCTTTCCCTTTGCCCTTCCTACGTGGGGCAGAGGGGGGCTCCGGGGGGCTCTGCAAATAAAGGGGGGTTCAATGCACATAGGATGGACCCTACAGGGATGCTGGGGGGGGTCCTTGGATGCTCACCTCCTCCTCTGGGAATGGGGCTTGCAGTGGGAAGCGCAGGGGATGCTGGCACCCGGGCATATGGAGCTGGCAATAGGAACGGGCAGCCTCCGGGTCCGGCAGCACCAGTAACTGCTGGATGTCCCCCTGCAGCAAGGAGCAAAGGGGGGGGCACAAGGGTCTGACCCCCCCCCCCATAACTGCACCCCACGGCTCTTGGGGTGCCCGTGCCCAAAGCATCCCCGTGGGATGGGGCAGGAACCCCCTTGGGGGGCAGTGAACAAAGGGAGCCTTGTGGGGACAAAGGGGCCCCCCCCGCCCCGGCTGCCTCAATGGGGCCTCTTTGCCCGTGGGCAGTGGCATTTGCAGGCAGAAGGAATGCAGGCAGGGGATGGGGATGCGGGGAAAGGGGTGGGGATACAGGGAAAGGGATGGAGACAGAGCAGATGGGATGGGGATACAGGGAAAGGGATGGGGACACGGGAAAAGGGATGGGGACACAGAGCAGGGGATGGGGACACGGGAAAAAGGATGGGGACACAGGGAAAGGGATGGAGACATAGGAAAAGGGATAGGGACACAGGGAAAGGGATGAGGACAGAGCCCAAGAGATGGGGACCCAGGGAAGGGGATGGGGACACAGGGAAAGGGATGGGGACACAGAGAAAGGGATGGGGACACAGGGAAAGGGATGAGGACAGAGCCCAAGGGATGGGGACACAGGGAAAGGGATGGGGACCCAGGGAAAGGGATGGGGACCAAGGAAAAGGGATGGGGACAGAGCCCAAGGGATGGGGACACGGGAAAAGGGATGGAGACACAGAGCAGGGGATGGGGACACAGGGAGAGGGATGGGGACAGAGCCCAAGGGATAGGGACACAGGGAAAGGGATGGGGACACAGGGAAAGGGATGAGGACAGAGCCCAAGGGATGGGGACACAGCAAAGGGGATGGGGACCCAGGGAAAGGGATGGGGACACAGGGAAAGGGACGGGTACCATGCCCAGTGGGTGCCCCCCCCCCCCATCACTCCCAGGCTCCAGGATGCAGGGGTCGGACCCACCTCAAAGCGCTCCTCATCCATCAGCCCCCCCCCGACCACGGTGACCCCTTGGGTGCTGATCAGGGGCCGAGGTCCCCGCAGCAACGGGAGCGTGGCCACGAGGTGACAATCGAGCATCAAGGACACGGTGGTACCCTCCACGGCCAGGGCCACGCGGTGCCACCTGCATCCATCCCCATAGCAACCCAATGATGGGTACCCAATGGTGGATGCATCAATGGTGGGTACCCAATGATGGGTACACAATGATGGATGCATCAATGGTGGGTACCCAATGGTGGGTACCCAATGGTGGATGCATCAATGGTGGGTACCCAATGATGGTACCCAATGGTGGATGCATCAATGGATGGGGCCCAAAGGGAGCAAGAGGGCCGCATCCTGAGCATCCCCATCCTGAGCATCCCCACCCCAGTACCGCACCAGCACCCACCGGCCGTCAGCCAGGTTGACCCTATGGAAGGTGGGATAACGCTCCGGGGGTGGGTTCCCATCCTGGTCCTCATAGAGGAAGACGGGGGAGAGCCCCAGCTCCAGGCCCAGCTGCTGAGCACCGCGCTCGTCGTACACGGACAGGAGGAAGGATTGAGCCCCGCGCCGCGCGCGCACCGTGGCCACGATGGAGAAGTTCTCCGGGAAGGGGGTGTCTGCAGTGGGGAGGAAATGGGGGGCACCCAACATTGGGGACCCATCAGTGGGGGACCCATCAGTGGGAACCCATCAGTGGGAACCCAGGTATCCATCAGTGGGGTATCCATCACTGAGTACCCATCAGTGGGGTATCCATCAGTGGGTACCCAGGTATCCATCAGTGGGAACCCATCAGTGGGGTATCCATCAGTGGGAACCCATCAGTGGCAACCCATCAGTGGGAACCCATCAGTGGGGTATCCATCAGTGGGAACCCACCTTTGGGATAGCCATCAGTGGGGCACCCAACACTGGGAACCCATCAGTGGGAACCCATCAGTGGGTACCCATCATTGGGAATCCATCAGTGGGGCACCCATCATTCGGAAGCCATCATTGGGAATCCATCACTGTGGCACCCATCAGTGGGGGACCCATCAGTGGGTACCCATCATTGATGCATCCGCCATTGGGTACCCATCATTGGGGCACCCATCATTGGGGCAACCATCACTGGGTACCCACCATTGATGCATCCGCCACTGGGTACCCACCATTGATGCACCCACCATTGGGCACCCATCATTGGGGCACCCATCACAGGGGCACCCATGACCGGTCCCCGTGCAGGTGGGTGCCGTACCGGGGAAGAGCAGCCGGGTGGGCGCGCTGTGCTGGGTGCCGTTATCCACATGGAACGCCAGATCCGGTTCCGGGGTACCGGGGCGCTGCGGGCAGAGCCCGGTGGTGATGGAGACCCCATGGCGGCCGTGCTGCATCCCCAGTGCCCGCAGCACATCCACTGGGAGGGCAGGGACAGCGCTCAGAACCCATGGGGACCTCCTTTATCAGTGGGACCCCTTTATCCATGGGACCCGCTTTATCCATTACACCCCCTTTATCCATGGACCCCCTTTATCCATGGGACCCCCTTTATCCATGGGACCCCCACATCCATGGGACCCCTTTATCCATGGGACCCCCTTATCCACGACTCCCTTATCCATGGGACCCCCTTTACCCATTGGACCCCCCCACCCATGGGACCCCTTTATCCATGGGACCCCCTTTATCCATTGCACCCCCCCATCCATGGCACCCCCGTTATCCACGCCCCCCCCCATCACCCAAACTGATTCGGGGGGGGGGGTGTCCCCAATCCCCTCCCCCCCCCCCCGGGCTCCGGCAGCGCCGCTCCCAGGCCCCTCCTGACCCCGCTTCCTGCTGGGGGCTCCCCAGGGACCCCCCCCCCCGGGGCTGCGAACCCCGGTAGGGGGGGGGAGGGGAAAGGGGGGGCAGAGCCGGAATGGGGATGGGACCCACAGCTCCCAGAGCCCCAGAGCCCCCATAGCCCCCATTGTCCCCATAGCCCCCACAGCCCCATAGCCCCCTAAACACCCATACCCCCATAGCTCATATAGCCCCTATAGCCCCCCATAACCCCCATAGCCCCCATAGCCTCCATAGCCCCCAGAGCCCCATAGCCCCCATAACCCCCATAGCCCCCCATAGCCCCTGTAACCCCCATAGCCCCATAGCCCCCCATTGTCCCCATACACCCTCATAGCCCCATAGCCCCCATAACCCCCAAACCCCCATAACCCCCATAGCCCCCCATTGTCCCCAAACCCCCCACGACCCACAAACGCCCCCCCCCACTCCCCTTGTTGTGGGGGGGTCGACACTGGACCCCAAAACCAAGACACCCCGGGGGGGGGCGCACCCCAAAACCCTATGGGGGGGGGGAGGGGTCTCTGTCCGTGGTGCTGAAGGCGGAGCCCACCCCCCCCCCACACACACACACACCCCCCCCCCCGGTACCTGCGCGGGCCGCGGGCAGCGCCTGCAGCGCCGTGAGGAGCGCGGCGAGGAACGGGAAGGGCTCCATGGGGGGGGCTTGGAACGGGACCGGCAACGGGAACGGGAACGGGAATGGGAGCGGGAACAGGACCGGGAATGGGAACGGGACCGGGAACGGGACCGGGAACGGGACCGGGAATGGGAGCGGGACCGGGAATGGGAACGGGACCGGGACCGGGAGTGGGAACGGGAACGGGAATGGGAACGGGAACGGGACCGGGAAAGGGATCGGGAGCGGGTTCGGGAATGGGAACGGGAGCGGGAACGGGACCGGGACCGGGAACAGGAACGGGAAAGGGATCGGGATCGGGAATGGGAACGGGACCGGGAATGGGAACGGGATCGGGAATGGGAACGGGATCGGGAATGGGAACGGGACCGGGAGCGGGAATGGGAACGGGACCGGGAATGGGAACGGGTGGGACGGAGCCGGACGGGACGGGATGGGGTGGGAGGATGGGGGGAGGGGAGGGAGGGGGGGAGGGGGCGGCCCCCGCCCCGCTGCCGGCCCAAGGGAGGGACCGGGACCAGTAAAGGGGGGGGAGGGGAGCGGGGGTGGGGGGTGTGGGGGGGGGTGGGGGGGAGGAGCACGGAGGAACAGGGAGGAGGTGGGGAGCGGACCCCAAACCCCACAGGGGGGTTATGGGGCACAGACCCTATATTGAGGTTATAGGGCACAGACCCTATATTAAGGTTATAGGGCACAGAGCACAGTGAGGCTATGGGGCACAGACCCTATATTAAGGTTATAGGGCACAGAGAGCACACACTGAGGTTATAGGGCACAGACCCTATACTGAGGTTATAGGGCACAGACCCTATATTAAGGTTATAGGGCACAGAGAGCACACAGTGAGGCTGTGGGGTGCAGACCCTATACTGAGGTTATAGGGCACAGAGCACACACTGAGGCTATGGGGCACAGACCCTATATTAAGGTTATAGGGCACAGAGAGCACACACTGAGGTTATAGGGCACAGACCCTATACTGAGGTTATAGGGCACAGACCCTATATTAAGGTTATAGGGCACAGAGAGCACACACTGAGGTTATAGGGCACAGACCCTATACTGAGGTTATAGGGCACAGACCCTATATTAAGGTTATAGGGCACAGAGAGCACACACTGAGGTTATAGGGCACAGACCCTATATTAAGGTTATGGGCACAGAGAGCACACCAACCCAAAAACACAAAACTGAGGTTATAGGGCACAGACCCTATACTGAGGTTATAGGGCACAGACCCTATATTAAGGTTATAGGGCACAGAGAGCACACACTGAGGTTATAGGGCACAGACCCTATATTAAGGTTATGGGGCACAGAGAGCACACAGTGAGGCTGTGGGGTGCAGACCCTATACTGAGGTTATAGGGCACAGAGCACACTGAGGTTATGGGGCACAGAGTGCACACGGTGCTTATGGGGCACTCCCCCCCCCGGGCTGCCCTGGGCTCCCTCTCCCCACGTGACCCCTGAGCCCATAAGCGCCTTTGGCGCAGGCATGGCCGCCCCCCCGGCCCGCACCGTGCTCGTCACCGGCTGCTCCTCGGGCATCGGCCTGGCCCTGGCCGCCAGACTGGCGAAGGACCCGGGGGGGAGATTCCAGGGTGAGGAATGGGGGGGGGGGGGGGGGGGCGGGGAAGGGGGGGATGGGAAGGTGAGAAATGGGGGGGGAGGGGAATGGGGGGGGAATGGTGGGGATGGGAAGGGGGGGATGGGAAGGGGGACAGGGGGGTGAGAAATGGGGGGGTGAGAAATGGGGGGGATGGGAAGGGGGAAGGGGGGGGAACAGGAAGGGGGGAATGGGGGGGATAGGAAGGGGGGATGTGGTGAATGGGGGGTGAGAAAGGGGGGGAAATGGGAAGGGGGGGATGGGAAGGGGGGATAGGGGGGTGAGAAATGGGGGGGATGGGAAGGGGGGATGGGTGGGGATAGGAACGGGGCAAACGGGAAGGGGGGGATGGGGGAATGGGGGGGATGGGAAGGGGGGTGGAGGGGTGAGAAATGGGAGGGAATGGGCACGGGGGGATGGGAGAAATGGGGAAATGGGGGGGCATGGGGGGATGGTGGGGTGAGAAATCGGGGGGTGGGAAATGAAGGGATGTGGAAATGGGGTGGTGAGAAATGAGGGGGGAATGAGGGGTATGGGGGGGATGGGAAGAGGGGATGGGGGGTGATAAATGGGGGGGGAATGGGGGAGATGAGGAATGGGGAGAATGGGGGGGAATGGGTAGCGGAGGATTGAGGGGTGGGGGTTGGAGAGCTCCCAATGAGCTCTGAATGGGCTCCCAATGGGATCGCAATGGACTCCCAATGGGCTCCCAATGGAATCCCAATGAGCTCCCAATGGAATCCCAATGAGCTCCCAATGAAATCCCAATGAGCTCCCAATGGGCTCCCAACGAGCTCCCAATGGACTCCCAATGGGCTCCCAATGGGATCCCATTCAGCTCCCAATGGGCTCCCAATGGCTCCCAATGAGCTCCCAATGAACTCCCAATGGGATCCCAATGAGCTCCCAATGAGCTCCCAATGGACTCCCAATGGGATCCCAGTCAGCTCCCAATGGGCTCCCAATGGCTCCCAATGAGCTCCCAATGAACTCCCAATGGGATCCCAATGAGCTCCCAATGGGCTCCCAAGGGGATACCAATGAGCTCCCAATGGACTCCCAATGGAATCCCAATGGGCTCCCAATGAGCTCCCAATGAACTCCCAATGGGCTCCCAATGAGCTCCCAATGGGCTCCCAATGGGTTCTCAATGAGCTCCCAATGAGCTCCCAATGAGCTCCCAATGGGCTCCCAGTAGGATCCTAGTCAGCTCCCAATGAGATCCCAATGAGCTCCCAATGGGCTCCCAATGAGCTCCCAATGAGCTCCCAGTCAGTTCCCAATGAGCTCCCAATGGGATCCCAATGAGCTCCCAATGAGCTCCCAGTTAGCTCCCAATGAGCTCCCAATGAGTTCCCAATGGCTCCCAATGAGCTCCCAATGGGCTCCCAATGGGTTCTCAATGAGCTCCCAATGAGCTCCCAATGGGCTCCCAGTAGGATCCTAGTCAGCTCCCAATGAGATCCCAATGAGCTCCCAATGAGCTCCCAATGGGCTCCAAATGAGCTCCCAATGGGATCCCAATGAGCTCCCAATGAGCTCCCAGTTAGCTCCCAATGAGCTCCCAATGAGTTCCCAATGGTGCCCAATGAGCTCCCAATGGGCTCTAAATGAGCTCCCAATGGGCTCCAAATGAGCTCCCAATGGGCTCCCAATGATCTCCCAATGGGATCCCAATCAGCTCCCAATGAGTTCCCAATGAGCTCCCAATGAGTTCCCAATGAGCTCCCAATGGAATCCCAATGAGCTCCAAATGGGATCGCAGTGAGCTCCCAATGGACTCCCAATGGGATCCCGATGAGCTGCCAATGAGCTCCCAATGGGTTCCCAATGAGCTCCCCATGGGCTCCCAGTAGGATCCCAGTCAGCTCCCAGTAAGAACCCAGTGGACTCCCAATGGGATTCCAGTCAGCTCCCAGTGGGCTCCCAGTAGGATCCCAGTAAGAACCCAGTGGGCTCCCCATGTGCTCTATCCCCATGGTCCCCCCGCAGTCATCGCCACCATGCGGGACCTGGGCAAGAGCCGGAAGCTGGAGGAGGAGGCGGGCTCGGCGCTGGGGCGGACGCTGAGCATCCGGCGCCTGGACGTGTGCAGCGACAGCTCCGTGGCCGAGTGCATGGCCAGCATCCCCGGGGGGCACGTGGATGTGCTGGGTGAGGACTATGGGGCGGCTATGGGGTACCTATGGGGTACCTATGGGACAGCTATGGGGCAGCTATGGGGCAGCTATGGGGCTCAGCTATGGGGCTGCTATGGGGCAGCTATGGGGCAGCTATGGGGTACCTATGGGGCAGCTATGGGGCAGCTATGGGGCTGAGCTATGGGGCAGCTATGGGGCAGCTATGGGGTACCTATGGGGCAGCTATGGGGCAGCTATGGGGCTGCTATGGGGCTCAGCTATGGGACCCAGCTATGGGGATGCTATGGAGCTCTGCTATGGGGCTCAGCTCTGGGGCTGCTATGGGGCTCAGCTATGGGGCTCAGCTATGGAGCCCAGCTATGGGGCCCAGCTATGAGGCTGCTATGGGGCTCAGCTATGGAGCCCAGCTATGGGGCTGAGCTATGGGGCAGCCGTGGGTCTGATGCGTGGGGCGCAGTGAACAACGCCGGCGTGGGGCTGGTGGGGCCGCTGGAGAGCACGAGCCTGGAGCAGATGAAGGGCTCAGCTATGGGGCTCAGCTATGGGGCTCAGCCATGGGGCTCAGCCATGGGGCTCAGCTATGGGGCAGCCGTGGGTCTGACGCGTGGGGCGCAGTGAACAACGCCGGTGTGGGGCTGGTGGGGCCGCTGGAGAGCACGAGCCTGGAGCAGATGAAGGGCTCAGCTATGGGGCTGAGCTATGGGGCAGCCATGGGGTACCTATGGGGCTGAGCTATGGGGCAGCCGTGGGTCTGATGTGTGGGGCGCAGTGAACAACGCCGGCGTGGGGCTGGTGGGGCCGCTGGAGAGCACGAGCCTGGAGCAGATGAAGGGCTCAGCTATGGGGCTCAGCTATGGGGCAGCCATGGGGCAGCCGTGGGTCTGACGCGTGGGGCGCAGTGAACAACGCCGGCGTGGGGCTGGTGGGGCCGCTGGAGACACGATGGAGCAGATGAAGGGCTCAGCTATGGGTCAGCTATGGGGCAGCTATGGGGCAGCCGTGGGTCACGCGTGGGGCGCAGTGAACAACGCCGGCGTGGGGCTGGTGGGGCCGCTGGAGAGCACGAGCCTGGAGCAGATGAAGGGCTCAGCTATGGGGCTCAGCTATGGGTTACCTATGGGGCTCAGCTATGGGGCTGAGCTATGGGGCTCAGCTATGGGGCTCAGCTATGGGGCAGCTATGGGGCAGCTATGGGGCAGCCGTGGGTCTGACGCGTGGGGCGCAGTGAACAACGCCGGCGTGGGGCTGGTGGGGCCGCTGGAGAGCACGAGCCTGGAGCAGATGAAGGGCTCAGCTATGGGGCTCAGCTATGGGGCAGCCATGGGGCAGCCGTGGGTCTGATGTGTGGGGCGCAGTGAACAACGCCGGCGTGGGGCTGGTGGGGCCGCTGGAGAGCACGAGCCTGGAGCAGATGAAGGGCGTCTTCGAGACCAACTTCTTCGGCGCCGTGCGCATGATCCGCGCCGTGCTCCCCGCCATGAAGCGCCGGCGCCGCGGCCACATCCTGGTGCTCAGCAGCGTCATGGGGCTGCAGGGTGAGGGGGGCCCCCATTGAACACAATGGGGGGGTCCCATCCCATTGAACACAATAGGGGTCCCATTGAAGACAATAAGGGGCATTGAACACAATGAGGGGGCCATTGAACACAATGGGGGCATTGAACGCAATGGGGGTCCCATTGAACACAATGGGGGGGCATTGAATCCAATGGGGGTCCCATTGAACACAATGGGGGGGTCCCGTCCCATTGAACACAATGGGGGGGCATTGAACACAATGGGGGCATTGAACACAATGGGGGGCCCATTGAACACAACGGGGGGGCATTGAATCCAATGGGGGTCCCATTGAACACAATGGGGGGCCATTGAAGACAATGGGGGGCATTGAACACAATGGGGGGGTCCCGTCCCATTGAACACAATGGGGGAGCCATTGAACACAATGGGGGGGTCCCATTGAGCTCTGAACACAATGGGGTGCCACTGAACACAACGGGGGACACTGAACACAATGGGGTGCCATTGAACACAATGGGGGACACTGAACACAAGGGGGGTATCCCATTGAACACAATGGGGGGGTATTGAACACAATGGGGGACACTGAACACAATGGGGGGGTACTGAACACAATGGGGGGCATTGAACACAATGGGGCTCCCATTGAACACAATGGGGGGGCATTGAAGAAGGGGGTGTCCCATTGAACCCAAGGGGGGTCCCTGGAGCTCAGCACCCACCCAAGGGGGTGATCCCATTGAACCCAAGGGGGGGATCCCACTGAACCCAAACGGGAGTCCATGGAGCTCAGCACCCAATGGGGGTCCCATTGAACCCAATGGGGCTCCCACTGCCCCCAGTGGTGCCGCATGGGCTCAGGCGCTCTCCCTGCCAGGGGTGGTGTTCAATGACGTTTACTCCGCCTCCAAGTTCGCGGTGGAGGGGTTCTGTGAGAGCCTGGCAGTGCAGCTCCTGCAGTTCGATGTCCAGTGAGTGCAGGCCTGGGCTGGCACCAGGGCACAGACCCCCCCACATCCCCATCCCATCCTATCCCATCCCTATCTCAACCTCATCCCCCTCCCATCACCTCCCATCCCCATCCCATCCCATCCACTTCCCCATTCCCATCCTCATCCCCATCCCCACCCCATTCCCATCCCATCCCCATCCCATCCGACCCCATTCCCATCCCATCCCCTCTGCATCCCCATCCCCTCCCCATCCCATCCCCACCCCATTCCCATCCTATCCTATCCCCATCACATCTCACCCCATCCCCATTCCCACCCCATTCCCATCCCCATCCCATCCCATTCCCACCCCATTCCCATCCCCATCCCACCCCATTACCATCCATCCACCCACCCACCACCCATCCCACCCATTCCCACCCATCCTATCCCCACCCCATTCCCATCCCCATCCCATCCCATCCCCACCCAATTCCCATCCCCATCCCCTCCCCATCCCACCCCATTCCCATCCCATCCTATCCCCATCCCCATCACATCTCACCCTTTCCCCATTCCCACCCCCTCCCCATCCCAACCCCTCCCATCCCCATCCCACCCGATCCCATCCTATCCCCATCCCATCCCCATTCCCATCCCCATCCCCATTCCCATCCCCATCCCCATTCCCATCCCCATCCCATCCCCTCCCCATCCCACCCCCATCCCCATCTCACCCCATTCCCATCCCATTCCCAGTGTGTCCCTGGTGGAGCCAGGCCCGGTGTGCACGGACTTCGAGCTGAAGCTGCTGGAGGAGGTTTCGCGCTCCGAGTACCCCGGCACGGATGCGGCCACCTTGGGGTACTTCCGGGACGTTTACATCCCTGCTTCCCAGGAGATCTTCCGCACGCTGGGGCAGAGCCCCGGAGCCGTGGCCGAGGTGCGGAGCTGACCCATGGGATACGGGAATGGGAACGGGAACGGTCCTCAGCATCACCTGGTTGCCATGGGAACACCGCCAGGGATGGGGCATCCAAACCTGCTCCATTCCTGCCATCCCAGGGTACCAGAGGGAAGAGCTTTCCTTATCCCCATCCCTTCCAGATGGGTTCCAGTGTGAACCCCATCAGTGCTTGGGATCCCTCTCCATAGCCCTGCATCCCCTTGGGACACTGGGAGATGCTCGGAGGTGTCCCAGGAATTCCTCCTCTCCAGCCCCAATGTTCTCCATAAGGCAGCTGCTCCAGCTCCGATCATCCCTGGGGGCTCCTTTGCTCCGTGTCCTTACCCTGAGGTCAATGAATGCAGCACCCAAGTGGGATCAGAGCAGAGGGGACGGATCCCTCCTTGGATCCCCTGGGAAGCATCCACTTGCATCCATCCCTTTGCTCCGTGTCCTTCCATTGAAGCCAACGGATGCAGCATCCAAGTGGGATCAAAGCAGTGGGTCCAGCTCCCTCCATCCCCTCAGGCAGCCCCCACTGCATCCATCCCTTTGCTCCATGCCCTTCCATTGAAGCCAACGGGTGCAGCATCCAAAGCAGTGGGTCCAGCTCCCTCCATCCTCTGGGCAGCTCCCATTGGCTCCATCCCTTTGCTCCATGCCCTTCCATTGAAGCCAAGGGATGCAGCATCCAAAGCAATGGGTCCAGCTCCCTGCATCCCCTCGGGCCGCTCCCAGTGGCTCTCTGCATGCCCCCCCCCCACCCCCCACCCCCTCGGGCCGCTCCCATTGGCCCCCCACCCCCTCGGCCACTCCCATTGGCTCCATCCCTTTGCTCCATGTCCTTCCATTGAAGCCAAGGGATGCAGCATCCAAAGCAATGGGTCCAGCTCCCTCCATCCCCTCGGGCCGCTCCCATTGGCTCCCTGCATCCCCTCGGGCCGCTCCCATTGGCTCCCTGCATCCCCTCGGGCCGCTCCCATTGGCTCTGCATCCCCTCGGGCCGCTCCCATTGGCTCCCTCCTCCCTCGGGCCGCTCCCATTGGCTCCCTCCTCCCTGGGCCGCTCCCATTGGCTCCCTCCATCCCCTCGGGCCGCTCCATTGGCCCCCCATCCCTCGGGCCGCTCCCATTGCTCCCTCCATCCCCTCCGGGCAGCTCCCATTGCATCCATCCCTTTGCTCCATGCCCTTCCATTGAAGCCAACGGGTGCAGCATCCAAAGCAGAGGGTCCACTCCCATCCCCTCGGGCCGCTCCATTGGCTCCCTCCATCCCCTCGGGCCGCTCCCATTGGCTCCCTCCATCCCCTCGGGCCGCTCCCATTGGCTCCCTCCACCCCCTCGGGCCGCTCCCATTGGCTCCATCCCTTTGCTCCATGCCCTTCCATTGAAGCCAAGGGATGCAGCATCCAAAGCAGAGGGTCCAGCTCCCTGCATCCCCTCGGGCCGCTCCCATTGGCTCCCTGCATCCCCTCGGGCCGCTCCCATTGGCTCCCTCCATCCCCTCGGGCCGCTCCCATTGGCTCCCTGCATCCCCTCGGGCCGCTCCCATTGGCTCCCTCCACCGCATCCATCCCCGCAGGCCATCGTGGCGGTGCTGTGCGCTCGCCCGCCGCCGTTCCGCACTCAGACCAACGCTCTCTACACGCCGGTGCTGGCGCTCAAGGTCGCGGACCCGTCCGGGGAGCTCTCGGTGCGGGCCCTGCACCGCCTCCTCTTCCGGCACAGCGGCCTCCTGCGGCTCAGCGCTGCCGCCCTGCGCTGCCTCACCTGCGGCTGCCTGCGCCGACGGGTGCGGCCGCTCTGAGCCCGACACGGCGGCCGGGGGCGGCCATGGAGCAATGGGGGGCTATGGGGGGCTATAGGGGTGATGGGGTAAATATAGGGGTGATGGGGAAAGCAATGGGGGCTTATAGGGGTGATGGGGTAAAGGGGGCAATGGGGTGATAGAGCAATGGGGGGTTATAGGGGCTATAGGGGTGATGGGGTAAAGGGGGTTATAGGGGTTATAGGGGTGATGGGGTAAAGGGGGGCAATGGGGGGCTATAGGGGTTATAGGGGTGATGGGGTAAAGGGGGGTTATAGGGGTTATAGGGATGATGGGGTAAATGGGGGTTATAGGGGCTATAGGGGTGATGAGGTAAAGGGGGGCAATGGGGGGGTTATAGGGGTGATGGGGTAAAGGGGGGCAATGGGGGTTATAGGGGTGAGGGGGTAAAGGGGGACAATGGGAGAAATGGGGGTGTTGGGGTGAAGGGAGGCAATGTGGGGTTATAGGGGCTATAGGGATGATGGGGTAAAGGGGGGTAGTGGGGGGTTATAGGGGCTATAGGGGTGATGGGGACCCCATAGAGATGGGGTAGGGGGGGCAATGGGGGAGCTATAGGGGTCATAGGGGTGATGGGGACCCCAAGAAGGTGGGCTAGGAGGGCAATGGGGGAGCTCTAGGGTCTACAGAGGTGATGGGGACCCCATGAAGATGGGGTAGGGGGGGCAATGGGGGAGCTATAGGGGTCATAGGGGTGATGGGGACCCCATAGAGATGAGGTGGGGGGGGCAATGGGGGAGAGGAGGGTCTATGGGGATGATGGAGACCCTATAGAGCTGGGATAAGGGAAGCAATGGGGGACAGAAGGGGCTTTAGGGGGGCCTGAGGGTGATGGGGACCCCGTAGAGATAGGATAAGGGGGGCAATGGGGGACAGAGGGGGTTTAGGGGGCCCATGGGGGTGATGGGGGCAATGGGGACCCCATGGAGTTGGAGTAGGAGCAATGGGTACCCCATGGAGATGGAGTAAGGGGGGCAATGGAGGACAGGAAAGGGTTTGGGGGGGTCTGGGTGGCAATGGGGACCCCATGGAGATGGGGTAGAGGGGGCAATGGGGGCCATGAGGGGCTTTGGGGGGCTATGGGGGTGACAGAGACCCTATGGGGCTGAAGTAGGGGCTATGGGGACCCCATAGAGCTGGAGTAGGGGGGGCAATGGGGCCATGAGGGGCTTGGCTTGGCTCTGGGAGGCCTATGGAGGTATTGGGGGGGCTCTGGGGCCGCTACGGAAGGACTGGGGGGGCTGTGGGGGTCTCCATGGGGTCCGTGTGGGGCTCTATGGGGTGGGGGGGCTCCTGGGGTCCCCATTAAAGCCCGTGTCCCCCCCCAATACCGATTGCTCTGACCTGCGCCGCCGGGCCCAGGCCTGGGGGGGCGTCCTCGGGGTAGGCCGCGTAACCATGGCAACGGGGACGGGAAGGGATGGGGCGGAAGTGGCGCAGCGGAAGTGACGCAGCGGAAGTGGCCGTGGCCACGTGGTGGTGGTGGCGGAGGAGGCAGCAAGATGGGGAGGCCGAACAGGGTGCGGAACGGGACGTGGGGATGGGAACGGGAATGGGATACAGGGAATGGGAACGGGAATGGGGGTGGGATACAGGGAATGGGAACGGGGAATGGGATATGGGGATGGGAACGGGATATGGGGGATGGGAACGGGAACGGGGGTGGGACACGCAATGGGATAGAGGGAATGGGAACGGGAATGGGGGTGGGATAGAGGGGATGGGGTACAGGGAATGGGAACGGGAATGGGGTGGGATACAGGGGATGGGAATGGGAATGGGGTGGGATACAGGGAATGGCAGATGGGGAATGGGAACGGGAATGGGGGTGGGATACAGGAATGGGATATGGGGATGGGAATGGGATCGGGGATAGAGAGAATAGGATATGGGAATGGGACACAGGAAGTGGGATATGGGGACGGGCACAGGAATGGGATACAGGGAATGGGATGTGGGGATGGAACAGGGAATGGGGTATGGGGATGGGACATGGAATGGGATGTGAGGATGGAACATGGAATGGGGTATGGGGATGGGACATGGGGATGGGAATGGGATGGGACACGGGACACAGGAATGGGGTATGGGGATGGAACAGGGAATGGGGTATGGGGATGGGACATGGAATGGGATATGGGGATGGGAATGGGATATGGGCATGGGAATGGGATGTGGGGATGGGACATGGGAATGGGACACAGGAATGGGCCGTGGGTTGCGGCTGCCCCGGTGCCGGGGGCTCCCCCCATGCTCACCCCCATCCCGGTGCGGTCCGGTCCCGTCAGAGCCGGCGGCAGCGGCAGCAGCGAGCAGCAGCGCAGCTCCGGGCCCAGCAGGACTTCAGCTCCGTGCCCCACTCCTTCGTGCTGGGCCGTGGGCGCCCCGGGCGCTGCCTCCGCGGCCTCGTGGCCGACGTGCGCCGGGTGCTGGAGCCCTTCACGGCCCGGGCGCTGCGGGTGAGCACCGGCACCACACAGGGACAGGCGGATACATGCGTACATACATACATATAGACGCATACATACACATACACATATACACGTACATACATACGTACATACATACATACATATGGATGTACATACATATACACGTATACACATATCTACGTGTATACACATACATACATACACATATGTACGCATACACATACATATAGATATACACACATACATACATACGCATATACACATACATATACATACATACAGATATACATACATAGACATACAAATGCATACATATACATATGTACACATACGTACACATATACACATACATACACACATACATATACACATGCATACACATACATACACATACGTATATACATGCGTACATACATAGACATATACATGTATATACATACATATACATACACACGTATATACACATATACACATACATATATATACATACATACACATACATACATACACATATAGACATACATACATACACATATAGACACATACATGCACATATATATGTACATACACATACATACATGCATACACACACAAACAGCAGGGACATGGGGGGAGAGGGGAGGGCTCATCCCATCACTGTCTCTGTCCCATCCACCCCATCCCACCCTTTCCATCCCGTCCCATTCCATCCATACCATCCCATCCCCATCCCTATCCCATCCTGTCCAATCCCATCTCATCCTATCCGATCCCATTCATCCACTCCCCATCCCTATCCCATCCTGTCCAATTCGATCCTATCCATCCCATCCCACACTATCCATCCCATCCAATCCCATCCACCCCATCCATCCCGTCCCGTCCCATCTGTCCCACCCAACCCATCCCATCCATCCCATCCCTGCTCTCCATAGGTGCGGAAAAGCAATTCCCTGAAGGACTTCGTGGCCGTGGCCGGGCCCCTGGGGGTGACGCATTTCCTGGTGTTCAGTAAATCAGCCTCCAGCATCAACTTGGTGAGGCCCATTCCCAGCATCCCGTTCCTTGTGTCCTGTTCCCAACATCCCATTCCCAGCATCCCATTCCCAGTGTCCCGTTCCCAGCATCCCATTCCCAGCATCCCATTCCCAGTGTCCCGTTCCCAGCATCCCATTCCCAGTGTCTCATTCCCAGCATCCCATTCCCTGTGTCCCATTCCTGGTGTCCCATTCCCAGCATCCCATTCCCTGTGTCCCATTCCTGGTGTCCCATTCCCAGCATCCCATTCCCAGTATCACATTCCCAGTGTCCCGTTCCCAGCGTCCCCATCACACGCAGATGATGACAAAAGCTCCTTGAATCCTTACCGTGATTCCAAGCAAAGTAAACGCACTGATGCGGCTGTGCTGGGGACCGGGAATGGTGGCACCCATGGGACACCAGTGATGGTGGCACCTATGGGACACCAATGGCACCCATGGGACACTGGTGATGGTGGTACCCATGGGACACTGGTGGTGGCACCCATGGGACACTGGTGGTGGTGGCACCCATGGGACACTGGTGGTGGCACCCATGGGACACTGGTGGTGGTGGCACCCATGGGACACCGGTGGTGGTACCCATGGGACACTGGTGATGGTGGCACCCATGGGACACCGATGGTGGCACCCTTGTCACTGGTTCCTCTCCCCCCACCCCACAGAAGGTGTTCCGGCTGCCCGGGGGCCCGACATTGACCTTCAAAGTGATGGAGGTGGGTGCTCATCTTCATCCCCTCCTCATCCTCGTGACCCATCATCCCCATCGCTCCTCATCCCTTCCTCATCACCCCTCAGCCTTGTTACTTCTCATCCCCATCCCCTCCTCATCCCCATCCTCATCCTTCCTCATCTTCACCCCTTCCTCACCCTCATCCCTCCTCATCTTCACCCCTTCCTCACCCTCATCCCTCCTCATTGTCTTCCCCTTCTCACCCCCTCCCCATCCTCATCCCCATTGCTCCTCATCCCTTCCCCCTCCTCATCCTCACCCCCTCTTCATCCGCTCCTCATCCCTCCTTCACCCCCTCCTCATCCTCACCCCCTCACCCTCATTCCTCCTCATCCCCATTCCTCCTCACCCCCTTCTCATCTTCACCCTTTCCTCATCCTCTTCCCCTCCTCCTCCTCATCCTCATCCCTACCTCATCCTCATTGCTTCTCATCCCCTCATCCTCTTCCCCTCCTCATCCTCACCCCCTCCTCATCCTCACCCCTCATCCCCATCCCTCCCCATCCTCATCCTTCCCCATTCCCATCCCTCCCTGTCCTCAACCCCATCCCTCCCCCTCCCCATCCTCCTCTCTATCCCTCCCCATCCCTCATACCCAACCCTATTCCTCCCCATCCCCATCCCTCCCCATCCCCATCCCTCCCCATCCCCATCCCCATCCCCATCCCTCCTCACCTTCCTCCCCCCCAGTACTCCCTGCTGCGGGACGTGGTCTCGGCTCTGCGCCGGCACCGCATGCACGAGCAGCAGTTCCGCCACGCGCCCCTCCTGGTGCTCAGCAACTTCGGCCTCCAGCACATCCACGTCAAGCTCATGGCCAGCACCTTCCAGAACCTCTTCCCCTCCATCAACGTGCACACGGTACCGGGGGCGGGGGGGCACCCATGGGTGCTGCTGGGGGCGTCACCAAGGGGGTGTCTCCATCTCCTCCTCCTCCTCCTCGTGGTGCAGGTGAACCTCAACAGCATCAAGCGCTGCGTGCTCATCACCTACGAGGCCGAGACGCAGCTCCTGCACTTCAGGCATTAGTGAGTGGCTTCCTCCTGTGCCTGTGGAGGCGCTGGGGACGGGGCCCTGGCCTCTTCCTCCTCCTCTTCCTCCACCTCCTTTCCCTCTCCCTCCTTTCTGTCCTCCTTTTCCTCCTCTTGCTCCTCCTTTCCCTCATCCTCCTTCTTTTCCTCCTCTTCCTCCTCCTCTTCCTTCTCCTTTTTCTCCTCTTCCTCCTCCTCTTCCTTCTCCTTTTCCTCCTCTTCCTCCTCCTCTTCCTTCTCCTTTTCCTCCTCTTCCTCCTCCTCTTCCTCCTCCTCGTTTCCCTCTCCCTTCTCCTCTTGCTTCTCCTTTCCCTCATCCTCCTCCTCTTCCTCCTCCTTTACCTCCTCTTCCTCCTCCTCCTTTTACTCCTCCTTTCCCTCTTCTTCCTCCCCTTCATTCTCCTTTTCCTCCTCCTCTTCCTTTCCATCTTCCTCCTCCTCTTCCTCCTCCTCTTCCTCCTCCTTTCCATCTTCCTCATCGTCTTCCTCCTTTTCTTCTCCCTTTTTCTCCTTCTCCTCCTCGTTTCTCCTCTTCCTTTTCCCCCTCTTCCTCCTTTCCCTCTTCCCCCTTCTCTTCCTATTCCGTTTCTTCCCCCTCCTTTCTCTTTTCCCCCTCCTTTTCCTCCTTCTCCTTTCCCCCTTCCTTCTCCTATTCCTTTTCCTCCTCCTTCTCCTTTCCCTCTTCTTCTTCCTCCTCTTCCTTTTTCTCCTTCCTCCTCCTCTTCCTCCTTCTTTCCCCTTCTGTTATTCCCTCTTCCTCCTCCTCCTCTTCCTCCTCCTTTTCCTCCTCCTCCTTCATCCTCCCCCTCCTCCTCCTCTTCCTCCCCGCAGCAGCGTCAAGGTGGTCCCCGTGGGAGTGAGCAAAGGCCTCAAGAAGCTGCTGCAGGAGAAGTTCCCCAACATGAGCCGCTTGGAGGACATCAGCGAGCTCCTGGTCAAGTACGGGGCACCCATGGGGACACCCATGGGACACCTGTAGGGGACACCCATGGGGGCAACCAGGGGAAACCCATAGAGACACCCATAGGGATACCTGAGGGGACACCCATGGGGGCAACCAGGGGACACCCATAGAGACACCCATAGGGATACCTGAGGGGACACCCATGGGGGCAACCAGGGGAAACCCATAAGGGACACCCATAGGGACACCCATGGAGCAACCAGGGAACACCCATAGGGATACCCATGGGAACGCCCATGGGACACCTATAGAGACTCCCATAGGAGACACCCATAGGACACCCATGGGGCACCCATAGGGACACCATGGGGACACCCAGGGGGGTCTGTGCCCATTCTCACCCCATTCCCCCCCCATTCCCCAGGGATCTGAACCTCTCGGAGAGCGAGGCGGAGCAGGACGGGCCCCACAACGTGACCGAGCTGCCCCAGGCCTACGCGGGCCGAGGCAACGCCAAGGCTCAGCAGAGCGCCGTGCGCCTCACCGAGGTGCGTGCCTGATCCCGGATCCATCGGGATCCATTGGGATCCACTGGGCTCCATTGGGATCCATCAGAATCCTGCCTCCATCGGGATCCCAGCTCCATTGAGATCCTAGCTCCATCAGAATCCGAGCTCCATCAGGCTCCTGGGTCCATTGAGATCCGAGCTCCATCAGGTTCCCAGCTCCGTTGGGCTCCTGGCTCCATTGGGATCTCACTCCATTGGGATCCATCAGGATCCCAGCTCCATTGGGATCCATTGAGATCCCAGTTCCATTGGGATCAATCGGGATCCCAGCTCCATCGGGATCCTGGTTCCATCGCAATCCCGGCTCCATTGGGATCCTGGTTCCATCGGGACCCCAGCTCCATTGGGATCCTGGTTCCATTGGGATCCCTGCTCCATTGGGATCCATTGGGGTCCATTGGTCTCCATCGGGGTCCATTGGTCTCCATTGGGCTCCACCGCACCCCCTTGCTGTTCCCGCAGATCGGGCCCCGCATGACGCTGCGGCTCTGCAAGGTGGAGGAGGGGCTGGCGCAGGGCAATGTCCTCTACCATGGCTTCGGTGAGTGACGGGGCGGGGCGGGGGGGGGCTGAGTGGGTCCTTGGTTGCTCTTGGTGTGGGGCATTGGGTGCTCTCAGTGTGTTCCTGGGTGCTCTCAGTGGGTGCTCATTGGGTCCCTGGGTGTTCTCGGTGTGGGGCATTGGGTGCTCTCAGTGGGTGCTCACTGGGTCCCTGGGTGCTCTCACTGGGTCCCTGGGTGCTCTCCATGGGTGCTCTCATTGGGTCCCTGGGTGCTCTCATTGGGTGCTCACTGGTTCCCTTGCTGCTCTCGGTGGGTGCCCACAGTGCACAAGCCCGAGGCCGAGGTGCAGGCGCTGCTGGCGCGGCAGGAGGCGAAGCTGCAGCTGCGGGCGGAGCGGCGCCAGCGCCAGGAGGAGGCCGTGGAGCGCAAGCGGCGGCAGCGGCAGGCGCAGAGGTGCGCGCGGGGGGGGCGCAAGGGGGCGCAGCCGTGAGCGCAGGAGTGAACACAAGGGGGCGCAGTGGTGAGCGCAGGGGGATGCAGCGCAGCAATGAGCGCAAGGGGGCGCAGGGGGGCGCAAGGGGGCGCAGCTCAGCAATGAGCGCAAGGGGGATGCAGCGCAGCAATGAGCGCAAGGGGGCGCAGGGGGATGCAGAGCAGAAGGGCGCAGCAATGAGCGCAAGGGGGCGCAGCGGTGATGCAGGGGGATGCAGGCAGAAGCAATGAGCGCAAGGGGGCGCAGCGGTGATTGCAGGGGGATGCAGCGCAGCAATGAGCGCACGGGGGCGCAGGGGGATGCAGAGCAGAAGGGCGCAGCAATGAGCGCAAGGGGACGCAGGGGGATGCAGAGCAGAAGGGCGCAGCAATGAGCGCAAGGGGGCGCAGTGGTGAGCGCAGGGGGGATGCAGCGCAGCAGTGAACGCAAGGGGGCGCAGCGCAGCGGTGAGCGCAGGGGGGGCACAAGGGGGCGCAGCTCAGCAATGAGCGCAAGGGGGCGCAGGGGGATGCAGAGCAGAAGGACGCAGCAATGAGCGCAAGGGGGCGCAGTGGTGAGCGCAGGGGGTTGCAGCGCAGCAATGAGCGCAAGGTTGGGGGGGCGCAGCACCTCCGTGAGGCTCGGTCCGTACCGCAGGGAGAGGAGCCTGGAGGGGATGCGGAGGAAGCGGCAGCGGCAGGAGCAGGATGGGGACAGCGGCGCTGAGGATCCCGGTGCTCCGGAGCCGGATGCGGCCCAGCAGGAGGAGGAGGAGGAGGAGGAGGAGAGCGATGCTGAGCACTACCGGAGGGAGGTGGGCGAGGAGCCGGATCAGGGTGAGTCCGGGGCTGGGACTGAGCCCTGGTCCTGTCCCGTCCCTGCTGTGGCTGAGGAGAAAGCGCTGAGCCCGAGCTTGCAGTGAGGGTGGCTCAAAGTAAACGCACTGACACAGCACAGCATCCCCCTTATAGTGACCCCCCTTTACACTGACCCCCCTTTATAGTGACCCGCCTATACACTGACACCCACTTTATAGTGACCCCCCCATACACTGACCCCCCCTTATAGAGACCCCCCCTTTATAGTGATGCCCCTATACACTGACCCCCCCTGCGACCGGTGTTTATACTTATTCCTTTACCTTTTATAGTGACTCCTCTTTACACTGACCCCCTTTATACTGATCCCTTTACCCTTTATAATGACCCCCCTTTACTCTTTACAGTGACCCCACTTTATACTGATCCCCCCTTTGCCCTTTATAGGGCCCCCCTTTTCACTGAACCCCCTTTATACTGACCCCCCCCTTTTCACTGATCCCCCCCTTTACCCTTTACAGTGACCCCCTTTCATAGTGATCCCCCTTTACACTGACCCCTTCCTTATACTGATCCCTTTATAGGGGCCCCACTTTATACTGCCCCCCCTTTACTCTTTCTAGTGACCCCCCCCCTTATACTGATCCCTTTACCCTTTATAGTGACCCCACTTTATACTGACTCCCCCTTTACCCTTTACAGGGCCCCCTCTTTTCACTGAACCCCTTTTATACTGACCCCCCCCCTTTACAGTGACACCCTTTTATAGTGATCCCTTTATAGGGACCCCCCTTTATACTGACCCCCCCCTTTGCTTTACATCCCCCCCTTCAAGACCTGTTCCCCAAGCACAAGAGGAAGCGGCCCCCCTCTCGCCCTGCCCGGCTCCGCAAGCGCCGGCGCCGCATCCCACCGGAGCATCGCATCCCATCGGAGCATCCCAGCATCCCACCGGAGCATCCCATCATCCCACCAGAGCATCCCACTGCTCCCAGGCCCCGCCGCCAAAGGAAGCTGCTCCCCAAGGGGAAAACCAGATTCCAGAGGCTGGGATGTGCCAGGAAGGGAAAGCGCTGAGGGACCGGGATTGGGACCTGACCCCCCCCTCACCACCCCCCTGGCCCTATTGCTGTGCAATACATGGCTTGGAATGACTGCGTGTGGCTGTGCTTGAGGGGGGGGATTGGGCTCTTCCCACTTTTCCATGCTGCCACAATGGGATCAGGAAGGAGATGGGAGCTCCTCTGTTCCCCCCCACCCCATAACGACCCCAAAGAGGGGCAGGATGCGACCCTGGGTGCCACCATAAAGGAATGGGGGGGGACCCACTTTGGGCAGAAATCCCCCTTTTTTCCTTAGCTGGAAAACCAGGAATGAGCCTGAAAGCAGGGGAATGGTGGCCCTTATCCCATCCTGGGTAGCCCCATGGCCATGGTACAGTGCCAGGGACCCAACCAGAGCTCAGCCCCACACCAGGGTACCAGAGTGCTTGGCTCTTTATTGAGAGGCCCCGGCATGGCACCGGCATCGCCATCAGTTGGTAGAGGGTCTGTGGAGGGGAGAAAGGCAGTGAGGGAAGGGACCCCCCCCAAAGCCCCCTGTACCCCCCCCAAGCAAGCCTGTACCTCCCCCAAAGCACCCCTGTATCCCCCCAAAGCACCCCCGGTACCCCCAAAGCACCCCTGGTACCCCCAAAAGCACCCCTGTACCTCCCCAAAGCACCCCTGGTACCCCCCAAAGCACCCCTGTACCCCCCCAAAGCACCCCTGGTACCCCCAAAAGCACCCCTGTACCCCCGCAAAGCACCCCTGTACCTCCCCAAAGCACCCCTGGTACCCCCCAAAGCACCCCTGTACCCCCCCAAAGCACCCCTGGTACCCCCAAAAGCACCCCTGTACCCCCGCAAAGCACCCCTGTACCTCCCCAAAGCACCCCTGGTACCCCCCAACGCAAGCCTGTACCCCCAAAAGCACCCCTGGTACCCCCCAAAGCAAGCCTGTACACCCCCAAAGCACCCCTGGTACCCCCCAAAGCACCCCTGTACCCCCCCAAAGCACCCCTGGTACTCCCCAAAGAACCCCCATACCCCCTAAAGCACCCCTGTACCTCCCCAAAGCACCCCCATAGCACCCCTGTACCTCCCAAAGCAGCCCTGGTACCCCCCCCCGCCCCCCCACTGCTCACTTCGCCCATTCCACATTGAGGATGAGGTGGTCATAGCCGAAGCCGGACACACCGGCAATGGCCCGCGCCGCATCCTCGCGGCGGTGGAAGCTGATGAAGGCAAAGCCCTGGAGCGGGAGGAAGGCAAAGGGTGAGAGGAAGCGGGGGAGGGGGGGTCTCATCTGGAACCCCAAAGGGGTGCCCCCACCTTGGACTGCCCCGTGGTCTTGTCCTTGGCCAAGTAGATGCGGGAGATGGAGCCGAAGGGGCGGAAGAGCTCCTGGAGATCGGTCTCGCGGGTGTCCTCGGAGAGGTTGGTGACACGGATGGTGGCGTTGTCATCGGCTGCGGGGGAGGGAGGGAGGATGAGGAAGGTGGGATGGGATGGGGATAGGGATGAAGGAAGGGGAAAGGATGGGGACAGGGAAAGGATGGGGACAGGGAAGGGACGGGGACAGGGAAGGGACGGGGACAGGGAAGGGACGGGGACAGGGACAGGGAAAGGATGGGGACAGGGAAAGGATGGGGACAGGGAAGGGATGGGGATAGGGAAAGGATGGGGACAGGGAAAGGATAGGGACAGGGAAAGGATGGGGATACAGAAAGGATGGGGACACGGAAAGGACAGGATGGGAAGGATGAGGAAGGGGAAGGACAGACAAGGATGAGGAAAGGGAAGGGTGAAGATGAGGAAGGATGAGGACAAGGGAAGGATGGGGAAATGACAGGAGAACAATAAAGATGGGGAAGGGTGAGAAAGGACAAGACAAGGATGAGGATGGGGAAGGGTGAAGAAGAATGAGAACAGGGGAAGGATGAGGATGGGCAGGATGGGGACAGGGGAAGGGCAGGACAGGGAAAGGATGAGGATGGGGAAGGTCGGGGAAGGATGAGAAAAGGATGAGGGAAGGGTGAAGATGAAGAAGGATGGGGACAGGGGAAGGATGAGGATGGGGAAGGGTGAGGAAGGACAAGGATGAGGAAAGGGAAGGGTAAAGATGAAGAAGGATGGGGATGGGAAGGATGGGGACGGGGGAAGGATGGGGAAGGGCGAGGATGAGGAAGGATGGGGACAGGGGAAGGATGGGGACAGGGGAAGGCTGAGGATGAGGAAGGCCGGGGCTGGCGCTCCCCTCACCCCTGCGGTTGGGCTGCATGGACTCCCCACGCCGGCTGGCTCCATCCCTCAGGCTGGGCGGGACGTACTTGCCCGTCTTGCTCTGCTGCGCCTGCACCGGCTCCGGCTCTGCGGGGATGGGAACATCCAGCGGGATGGGAGCTTGGAATGGGATCCAGAACAGCCCCAATTCCAGCTCCTCCCTATCCCGGGCCGGGTCCCACCTCCAGGCAGCTTCTCCTTCTCCCCTGTGGACAAGCCCAGCTGCTCGGCCAGCTCCTTCTGCATGGGGCCCAGGGTGTCCTTGTAGGGGCAGCGCGTGGTCCAGTGGTCCCCTTTGCAGATGCGGCACGAGACGATCTTCTGGCCCTTGAGCTTGTTCATGGGATCCTCCTCCTCTTGGCAATTGAGGTCCTAGGGGGGTACAGGGAAGGGTCCTGAGCCCCACAGCACCCCCAGAGCACCCAACCCAGCACCCAGGGAGCCAGCACCCAAGGCACCTCCTTGCTGGTGATGAAGGTCATGAAGACGTCGTCGCTCACGGTGGTGGTGGCCACATTGGGGCCGGGGGCATCGAACTCGGAGTTGCCAAACTTCTTCCAGTTCTGGGCAGGGAGAAAGGGGGGAAGAGGGAAAGCAATGAATGGGGAGTGGGAATGAGGAGTGGGAAGAGGGAAAGCAACCAATATGGAGTGGGAATGGGGAGTGGGAAGAGGGAAAGCAATGAATGGGGAGTGGGAATGGGGAGTGGGAAGAGGGAAAGCAACCAATATGGAGTGGGAATGGGGAGTGGGAAGAGGGAACCCAACCAATATGGAGTGGGAATGGGCAGTGGGAAGAGGGAAAGCAATGAATGGGGAGTGGGAATGGGCAGTGGGAAGAGGGAAAGCAACCAACATGGAGTGGGAATGGGCAGTGGGAAGAGGGAAACCCCCCACATGGAGCAGTGGGAAGGGGAATGAGGGGGATTGGGAGGGAATGGGGAGAAGCAGAGGGCTGGAGGTGAAGCAGCTCCTGCTGGAGCAGATTCCCTTGGGATTCCCATGGGAAAAGCTCACCTTCCTCCGCGCCACCGCCTTGGAGGCCTTCCTGGTCTCAATGCGGAAGGTGCGGATGATCTGCAAAGGTGCCAAAGCCCAGGAATTACCCCCTAAGGTGCTAATGGGGGGGGGGGGGTGTGTATTCATATCTATAAGGGACATCCCTAGGGATAGGGGACATCCTACAGATAGGACCATCCCTATGGAGAGGGATAGGAGACATCCTATGGATAGGGACATCCCTATGGACAGATACAGGAGACATCCTACGGATAGGGACATCCCTATGGAGAGGGGCCATCCTATGGATAGGGACATCCCTAGGGATAGGGACATCCCTAGGGATAGATACAGGAGACATACTACAGATAGGACCATCCCTATGAGAGGGACAGGGGACATCCTATGGATAAGGTCATCCCTAAGGATAGGGACATCCCTAGGGATAGGGATAGGGGACATCCTATGGATAGGGACATCCATAGGGATAAAGACCATCCTATGGATGATAGGTGCCATCCTATGGATAGGGCCATCCCTATGGACAGAGATAGGGGACATCCTATGGATAGGGATATCCCTATGGCTAGGCACAGGGGACACCCCTATGGACAGGGATTAACACCAGTGGGGACAAGGAGCTCAGGAGCCCCCCACTCACCTTCACCTTGCTCCCATCCTCCTCCTCCCGGTACTCGGTGACGGTTTTGATGTTGCCATTGATGAGCTCCTTAGGGGAAGGGAGCGGCCCTGCAGGGACAGGGAGGGGACGGTGCCAGAGCGGGAGGAGGCAGCAGGGGAACGCCCCCCCCCCCCCCGGGTTCCCCCCATGCTCTCACCTCCCTTCAGCAGCTCGGCCTCGGCGCTCAGGCTGCCCCCCAGCACCCCGGGCAGGGGGATGTCCTTCAGCAGCTCGCTCGTGATGCATTTGTCTGCGGGGGGAGGAGGGCGAAGAGTCAGGAAAAGACCCAAAAAAGGACCCCAAAAAGGCACCAAAACGGGGACCCTGCTCCTTGCCCCAAGGAGAGGGTGCAGGGGCAGCAGCAGCGTCCCCGTCCGCCAGCAGGAGGAGCGGCGGAGCCGCAGGGGAGGGCCGGGCCCGCACTCACCGTCCTCTCCGCCCTCCTCTTCCACTTGGTCGGCCCAGCTGGGCTTCGAGCTGCGGGGACAGCGGCGCCTGAGGCCCGGCCCGGCCCCGGCCCCGGCCCCGGCCCCGTTCCCGTTCCCATCCCCTCATTCGCAGCGGCTCGCCGGCACCGCACTCAGCGACGGCCACAGCTCCCACTCCAGGCCCTCGCAGGCCTCAGCTCCGCTCCCCATTCCCATCCCCATTATAGGCCCCATTCCCGTCCCCTCACTCGTAGCCACCCGCCGGCACCGCACTCAGCGACGGCCACAGCTCCCACTCCAGGCCCCGGCTTCAGGCCCCTGCAGGCCTCAGCCCCGCTCCCCATCCCTATTCCCGTTCCCATTCCCGTGTCCCTGCTCCCGTTCCCTCACTCGTAGCCGCCCGCCGGCACCGCACTCAGCGACGGCCACAGCTCCCACTCCAGGCCCCGGCTTCAGGCCCCCGTAGGCCTCAACCCCACCAGGCCGCAGCCCCAACCCCATCCCTATTCCTATTCCCATCCCTATTCCCGTCCCTATTCCCGTCCCTATTCCCGTCCCCGTCCCCGTTCCCTCACTCGTAGTCTCCCGTCGGCATCGCGCTCCCCTTCCCCTCACGCTCAGCGCCCGGAAGGCGACGCCACTTCCGGCGTGGGGCGTGGCTACGCGGGGGGCGTTGGAGCCGCGGTGCATGGCGGGGCGCGGTTGCTACGCAACGCCGCGACTCTGCGGCCTACCCTAGGCCCCGGCTCAACCAAGACGCAGGCCTCAAAGGGGTTTATAATTTATAGGCGAGCTTTACTTGAAGGAATATTACAACATATAAAAACTACGGAAAAGGCTCCATTCCCGCCGGCACAAAGCGGCCGAGTTCTCCTCAAGACAACGCGGCGGACACAGACACGAGGCCGAGGGGAGGGACACACACACACACACACACACAGAGAGGAGGCCATGCCCCCCCCCACCCCCCCCGAAAAAGAAAGGAAACCAACCCAAAACCAACCCAAAACCAGCCCAAAAGGGGTAAAATCAGTGCAGGAAGAGGAGGGGGGGGGCACGGGGCCGGTGTCAGGCGGCGGCTTCCAGGGTCTCCATCCTCTGCGGGGCGCCGGGGCCTGCGGAGGGAAGGGGGCATGGAGGGAGCCGAGCCCGGCCATGGGCCCAGCCCAGCCCATTGGGAGAGCTTCCTTACAGCCGATGTCCCTATAGCCAGGGTCCTTGGATGCCAGCCTGCCTTAGGGCCAGCATCCTGAGAGCCAACCTCCTTACATCCCAACCTTCCTTATATCCAATATCCTGATACCCAGTATCTGGATATCCCAACCTCCCTTGATTCCAACCTCCTTATAGCCCAACCTTCCTTATATCCAATACCCTTATATCCCAACCTTCCTGATATCCAATATCCTGATACCCAGTATCTGGATATCCCAACCTCCCTTGATTCCAACCTCCTTACATCCCAACCTTCCTTATATCCAATATCCTGATACCCAGTATCTGGATATCCCAACCTCCCTTGATTCCAACCTCCTTATAGCCCCAAATTCTTTATATCCAACCTCCTTATATCCAATATCCCGATATCCAATCTCCCTATATCCCAACCTTCCTTGATTCCAACCTCCTTATAGCCCAACCTTCCTTATAGCCAATATCCTTATATCCCAACCTTATATCCAATATCCTTATATCCCAATCTTCCTGATACCCAATATCCTTACATCCAATATCCTTATATCCCAACCTTCCTGATATCCAACCTTCCTTATATCCAATATCCTTATATCCCAACCTTCCTTATATCCAATATCCTTATATCCAATATCCTTATATCCCAATCTTCCTGATACCCAATATCCTTACATCCAATATCCTTATATCCCAACCTTCCTTATATCCAATATCCTTATATCCCAACCTTCCTTATATCCAATATCCTTATATCCAATATCCTTATATCCCAACCTTCCTTATATCCAATATCCTTATATCTAATATCCTTATATCCCAACCTTCCTTATACCCAATATCCTTACATCCAGTATCCTTATATCCCAACCTTCCTGATGCCCAACCATCCTTATATCCAATATCCTGATATCCAAACTTCCTTATATCCCAACCATCCTTATATCCAATATCCTTATATCCCAACCTTCTTGATACCCAATATCCTTACATCCAATATCCTGATCTCCAACCTTCCTTAAATCCAATATCCTTACATCCCTTCTATCCCAACCTTCCTCATACCCCAATCTTCCCCACATCCAGCTTTCCCTATATCCAACCTGGATGACTTCATCCCAACCTCCCCCATCCAACCCATCCCATCATCCCCCTCCCGAACCCCCCTTTCCCACCCCAAACCCCCCCCATCCCCTTCCCCTGCCATTGACGCCGCTCCCACCCCGCATCCCACGGGATCCTCCCGCACGCACCGGCCGCATCCTCCCTCCGCTTGGCCACCACGCAGGCCTTGATCTCCAGCCCGATGGCCTTGGCGAGCGGCGGCGGCACCGCGTTCCCAACCTGTTCCATAGGGAAAACGCTTTCATCCCGGCCTCCGGCTCCGGCGCGGCGCCGGCGCCGAGCCCCCACTCACCTGCCTGTGCTTGTCCAGGATATTCCCAAAGAGCCGGTAGGTGTCCGGGAAGCCTTGGGAACGGGCGCACTCCCGCACGCTCACCACCCGGTGCTGCTCCGGATGCAGCACCCGGCCCTAGGGTACCGAAGGGAGGAAGGGATGGGAGCTCCATGGAGCCATTCCCAATGGGAAAACCCCATGGTTGGGATGGGAGCTCCATGGAGCCATTCCCAATGGGAAAACCCCATGGTTGGGATGGGAGCTCCATGGAGCCATTCCCGATGGGAAAACCCCATGGGTGGGATGGGAGCTCCATGGAGCCATTCCCGATGGGAAAACCCCATGGTTGGGATGGGGAAAACCCCATGGGTGGGATGGGAGCTCCATGGAGCCATTCCCAATGGGAAAACCCCATGGGTGGGATGGGAGCTCCATGGAGCCATTCCCAATGGGAAAACCCCATGGGTGGGATGGGAGCTCCATGGAGCCATTCCCAATGGGAACGCCGGCACCCACCTGCTTGCCCATGGGCTCGGGGTTGGTGACCGTGGTGCTGAAGAAGCCGTCCCACTCGAGGCGCCCGTAGAGCCCGGCCCAGTGGTTGTGGCGGTTCCCAGTGTGGGGCAGGCACCAGGGGATGAGGGTGTTGAACTGCCGGTCTGCGGGGTCGCAGGGCTTCCCTGGGGGGGGGACAGCAGCAAAAGGCACCCAAATCAGCCCCAAACACACTGAAATCAGACCAAAACACACTCAAATCAGCCCAAAACACACTCAAATCAGCCCAAAACACACTGAAATCAACCCAAAACACACTGAAATCAGCCCAAAACACACTGAAATCAGCCCAAAACACACTGAAATCAGCCCAAAACACACTCAAATCAGCCCAAAACACACTGAAATCAACCCAAAACACACTGAAATCAGCCCAAAACACACTGAAATCAGCCCAAAACACACTGAAATCAGCAAAAACACTCATATCAACCCAAAACACACTCAAATCAGCCCAAAACACACTCAGATCAGCCCAAAACACACTCAAATCAGCCCCAAACACACTCAAATCATCCCCAAACGCACCCAAATCAGCCCAAAATGCACCCAAATCAGCCCGAAATGCACCTAAATCAGGCTCGAACGCACTCAAATTAGCTGCGAACGCACCCAAATCAGCCGGAAATGAACCCAAATCAGCCCCAAAGGCACCTGAATCAGCCCCAAACTCACCCAAATCAGCTCAAAAGTCACCCAAATCAGCCCCAAATGCACCCGATCCATTCCAACCCCCCTAATCCATGCCCTAACCCCCCATGCATTCCCTACCCCCCCAATCCATTCCCAACCCCCCAATCCATCCCAAACCTCCTCCAATCCATCCCAACGCCCCCAATCCATCCCCAAAGCCCCCCATCCATTCCAACCCCCCCAATCCATCCCAACCCATCCCAACCCCCCACTCCATCCCAACCCCCCCATCCATTCCCTACCCCCTTGCTCCATCCCAACCCCCCCCAACCCATCCAAAAGGCCCCAAATCCATCCCCAACCCCCCCCAATCCATCCCCAACCCCCCCCATCCATCCCCAACCCCCCCAATCCATCCCAACCCATCCCAACCCCCCCATCCATTCCCTACCCCCTTGCTCCATCCCACCCCCACCAACCCATCCAAAAGGCCCCAAATCCATCCCCACCCCCCCCAATCCATCCCCAACCCCCCCCCATCCCACCCCCCCCATCCCAATCCCCCACCTTCAGCACAGGAGCAGACCCCGCGCAGGGCCCCGCTGCTGCTGCGCCCGTTCTTCCTCTCGTGGTGGGTGTAGCGCAGCTTGCGCGTGGTGGTGCCGTCCGAGAGCCGCACCTCGATGTTGGGCAGGTCCCGCCAGTCCGAGCCCGGGGCCAAGGGGATGTGCCTCATGCGGGCCGCCACCAGCGCGCTCATGTCCTGCAGGGCAACGGCAGCACCTGGGGCCGGGTGCTCCGAGTGGATCCCGAGGGACCGGGGCCATGGGGAGATGGGAGCTGGGTACAAGGATGCTGATGGAGCGGGTACAAGGATGCTGATGGAGCGGGTACAAGGATGCTGATGGAGCAGTTCCCAGGGGATGATGGGGATGGAGAGCTCGACGCAGCTCCCAGTGGCTACAAGGATGCTGGAGAGGGACCTTCAGCAGGGATGGGCCAAGGGATGATTCAATTTGCAGGTAAAGGAAGCTTTTCCCCAGGAGGGATGGTGGGATAATGGGATGGGCAAGCCAAAGTGGTGGATGCTCCATTAGATCCTTGGTCTAATGTAAGGCATCCCATGGCATGGGGTTGGAACTGAGGCTCCTTCCCAACCCAACCCATTCCATGATCCTGGTGGCTCCATGGAGAAGGAGCAGCTCCATCCCTGGAGGTGTTCCCCAAGGCAGGCTTGGGGACGGTACCATCCTGCCCTTAACCCCTCTCCCCCATCTCCCCCCTCACCTTACAGATGTGATCCCTGAGGATGGGCTGATACTGGGAGCCCCGGATCTGCCTCTGGAACCAGGACTGGGGCTCCCCGTTGTAGGAGATCTCCAAGGCGGAGGCCCCGTTCCGGATCTCGGGCAGGTCGGACATGGTGTCCCGCACGGTGATGGTGCGGAAGGGCCCGGAATAGGTCCTGCGGGGGGGGGAAAGGGGCGTCAGGAGCGGGGTGGGCTCAGCCCCGGTGGCGGGGGGCGCTCAGCACCCACCGGGTGATGTTGCTGACGAACTTCTTGTCGTCCACCACGACGCTGAGCTGGCAGGCGCGGGGGGCGAAGACGTGCAGGGGCTCGGGGAACATGGGCAGCTTCTCCCCCGGGGCCGCGGCCAGGACGATGGCGCGGCGGCGGGTCTGGGCCACGCCGTACTGCCCGGCCTATGGGAGCAATGGGAGAACCCTGTCAGCCTCCATCCATCATCATCCATCATCCATCCATCATCCATCCTTCATCCATCCATCATCCATCCATCATCCATCATCCATCATCCATCCATCATCCATCCATCATCCATCCATCATCCATCATCCATCATCCATCCATCATC